AAAGTTTCAATTACAGTTAAAATTCTTTATGCGACACCAAGCAAGATTTCCTATACACTTTTACCAGAAGATTTCCAGAAAGTCATTTGAAAATGAAATTGATGAATTCTTTAGTCATATAGATTTAAGTAGGAGGTTTGGAGGAATAAACGGAATTAAACCATATAAAGCATTTGTCAAAAATACCGTTATTTGTTTGAATGGATTGACTGGCATTTAGTAGACAAAGAGAAAATAAATGAAGTCTTGAACGAATTTAGAGCAACTAAATATAGTATATGGTATTACTACAACACTAAATATAAAGTATGCCTATTGTTGTATTTATTCTTTTGGGAATATATCTATTCAATAATAGGAACACAATATCAAATATATAGACATTGGTGATATTGATAAATATGTAGATTACATATGTGAAGACATATTACCTGACCATTATTTTAACCCATAAACCTTACAATAAAAAACGTTGTAAGATTTATGATTTCAAAATGACTTGAAGAAATAATAACTGAATATAATATAATGAAATGAGTGATACAGTCGGTATCAATGCTAAAAATATATTGAAAAACAAGTTTATGAGTTCTAAATGTAAAGACTGTGACATGCTAAAATTACCAATTGAACGGGGTTTTGCAAATGGCGTTTGTAATAATATTTGCCAATATATGATATGCAATAATTGCAATAGAGTTATAAAAAAATTGATGATATGAATAACAAAGATACTGATATTATACATAATGAAACTCTTGATGATGATTTAGAAAAATTTGTGTTTATTGAAATGAATAACTTCTTAACTATAGAAGGGTTTGATCATTTATTAGAATGTGACGACGAAGGATATAATAATGAATGTATTTTTAAGTATTATTGTATGGTAAAAAGATTATACAATATGTCTTTTAATATTAAGCGTTTAAACTATGTTGTATTGTTTAATTTTTTAAATGAGTTTTAAAATGATGAGTATAAAGTAGATATACAATAACACATGCAATTAGAACAATGGGATTGTTTAGAACAAAAATAGGAAGTAATATTTATAATGAAACAACGTGTGATAAAAAAAAATAGAAAGACTTAAATTAATAATTTAGTTTTAGGCGAAATAGTCCTAAAGAAAAAACACCTTACATTAATAGTGAAGAAATGAACGGTATTGAAACCAATAAGTATATTAATAAGAAATGCGACGACTGTTGCCACTTTAAAAAGGAAATTATGGAATTGTATAAATTAAACTTACCTATTGGAATAATAAATAGTATTATTGATTATGCTCTGGGTGAAGAAGATTTATGTAAAATTTGTAGAAATTGGAGGTTTTATCAAGAATTAATCAAATGTACTTTAAGTACTAAAAGGTTTAATGAAAGAAATGTTGAAGATGACATTTTGATACTTTTAACTGTGTATGAAAGACCACCTTATAGTTATGTTAGAGCATTTCTGAAAATCAGTAAGAAAATATGAACTGATTGAAGGTGTATTATGGATGTTGACTTGTCATTTTAGGGAAGGGTTTGATGTAAAAGAAGACATTAAAACATATATTGACAGAAAAAAGTTTAATGTCAAAAACTCAGTTAGAGATATTAATATTATTTTAAAAATGCATGAAAGGGGTAAGATGTATCAACAATTTAATAGTCATCAGTTAAATTATTATCCTGAACTTAAATTATAAATTAACTCATAAACCTTACAATAAAGTTAAATTGTAAGATTTATGTTTGAAGTTCTGTGATTTGTTATTAAAAAAATGTTAATTAATAATTTAGTTTTAGGCGAAATAGTCCTAAAGAAAAAAGACCTTATATTAATAGTGAAGAAATGAACGGTATTGAAATCAATAAGTATATTAATAAGAATTGCCATGATTGTTGCCACTTTAAAAAAGAAAATATGGAACTGTATAAATTAAGTTTACGTAATGGAATAATAAATAATATTATTGATTATTCAATGGATGAAGAAGACGAATGTAAAATTTGTCAGGAATGGAGAGACAATCAAACTTTAACCAAATGTTTGTTGAGATTAAAAGAAAGACATAATAGAAATGTAGAAGATGACATTTTGATATTTTTAACTGTAAATAAATTACCACCTTACGAATATGTTAAACAGTTTCTTAAAATCAGTAAGAAAATATGTAATGATTGCTGATGTATTATTGATGTTGTGTCATAGTCAAAAGAAAGGAGAAGATATTAAAGAATATATCAAATTTTATATTGAAATTTATAAAAAGTTCAATGTTAAAAATACAGTGAGAGATATTAATACTATTTTTAAAATGATGTATGAAATAAGTGAGATTTGTCAATTAAATTATTATCCTGAACTTAAATTATAAATTAACCCATAAACCTTACAATAAAAACATTGTAAGATTTATGTTTTGAAATTATGGGGATTTTATATTTTGGGATTTCGGAAAAATATATTTTGGGAATTTTGGATTTTAGAAAAATATATTTTGGGAATTTGGGATTTTGGAAACATATATTTTGGGATTTTAGAAAAATATATTTGGGACTTTGGGAATTTGGGATTTAGGTGGTAAAATTGGTTGAGGTGGCGTGCCCCTGTTGGTTAATATGGTTGAAGTGGTTGACTGAGGGGATTTTATCTGAACTGGGGCATGCCCTTTGGTAGGTCAAACACCCCCAACCCCCCCCCCCCCCCCGAAGGCATGAAAACGTGGTAACGAGCGCGGAATCAAACTGTACCCATATATATATATGTATGTATATATATATATAGGCATGGATTAACCAATATTTTAGACTTATGTGCATCAGCTGAAGAACCGGAAAGATGATGATGAGAAAAAAAGTTGACAAATGTCATGACATTCACCGAAAATAAACAACCAACAAGTCACCCCGCCACCAAAAAGGCTGGAACACGGGTTAGGGGCCAACCATTGGTCGATGCCCAGCAACACCCAGCGTCATCATTGCCCCGCCTTGAAAAATGAGGAAGCTGTAGTCGGGACATGTTGGGCCCGACTACTGTTTTTGCCAAGTCAACACCCTGAGCATCTCCAGCAACGTCCTTTTGCAAGACGCGCGTCAATTGCAGACATAGCCCGGGTCGGTGTTCTGCTAAGCTTTAATAGTGCTTATAACTAGCTTATGAGGGCCTATGCTAGGCTCTACAGTATGTCAGTTAAGGAGATTTACCAATCCTGCTAATAGGACTGAAACTAAGTTTAGTTAAGTTCAGCTAAGTTCAGCGAAGCTCAAGTAAGTTCAACTAAGTTCAACTAAGTTCTAAGCAGTTTGATCTGCCATCAGCGAGGAGCATACGTGATAACTTACTTTTGGACGGACGAGGGCATAACAAGGTCAAGAGCAACAAACAGCTTGGTTCATGAGCTCGCCATCACTGACGTGCAGAGTTTATAGATATATCTCGCTCCGCCGCAACCCTTTTCCACACTTACCGTATGCGCTCTAGCAGGAGTCATAAGGACTAAGTTGTCAAGTCAGTGTTTCGTATACTACGCTTTCAACAGTTGCGACTTGCGATAATGTACTTTGTGTATAACACGCTAGTGCTTGTAACAGCATGTAGAAGTTACGATTTTGGAGCTGGCTGCCAAAGCGCTCTTTGTGTACAACTAGTCTTGCGCCGAAAAGTTGCGACAACGAACTTTCAGTCGTTTGTTTCGGAGGGTTCCTTGTTGGTTTCCGCCCTTTTTATGCTTGGCCTCCATCTCTGTTTTGCAGGGTTCCTGGTTGGCGCATTGTTTTTTTTGGGGGTTCCTTGTTGGGTTTCCTTATTTTGGATGGTTTCTGTTGTGTTCCGTCTTTTGGCTGAAGGGTTCCTTTTTGGGCTCCATCATGTTTGGGTTCCATCATTTTTTTGGAAGATTCCTTTTTTGGTCCTGACCTTGCGAAAGTGCTGCGCCTGTCACGCAAGAAAGTGCTGCGCCTGCCACGAAACTTGTTCTTGATCTTGCGAAGGTGCTGTGCCTGCCACAAAATCTCCACTTGACTTTGCGAAAGCCGCGAAATCTACAGCTGACCTTGTGAAAGTGCTGCGCCTGCCACAAAATGTGCATGCGCCAGTGTTCTCGTCCGCGCCGACAAAATTTGCAAACGTCCGTACCAGCATTGCGCAAATGCTGCGCCTGCCATCAAATCTAGACTTGACCTTGCGAAAGTGCTACGCCTGCCACGTTATCTACACCTCAGGCTGCCAAAGTGCCGCGCCTGCCACGAAGTCTGAACGCCAACGCAACAAGCTGCTGCACCTGCCACGCAATGTGCAGCTCAGCTCGCCAAAGCGCTGCGCCTGCCACGCAAAGCTGACATTGCGAAAAGTGTGCCGGTCCGGGCCAATGGGCCCGGGTGCAAGACCGTTCCGCACCCGTCCCACACCTCTCCCACACCCGTCCTTCACCCGTCCGAGCCCGTCGTCCGTCAGAGGTAGCTTTCAGCCCGCCGGAAACGCCAAAACATGCAGAGGGTCACTTTTTTTCACGATTTCTATTTTCCCGCCACGCGCGCGCACATGTTTTCGCGCACGCATTCATCCTTTCTTCATCTTATCTGTACGCAAGGCTAGTTTTCGCCGTCGCCCAATGTTTATACTACAGAAGTTCCTTTGGCCATCTCCGAGGTTGAGCTGGGCTTTAAGGGGAGCAGGGTGGCATGGTTGCATGTTCTACAGTGTGGGTGTGGTTTGCTTGTTTCGTGGAGCTAAGGATCAAACAAAAAAGTGAAGGGCCTTTTGATAGACGCACAGTATGTCTGCTTGAATACACTGGTTGGTTTGCTAGATTGCCACCAATTCGCTGAGGCTCCCCGCATCTTGGGCCCTCTGTGTGCAGGTTTTCCGCCCCAGACGACTTCACTGGAAAGGATGGTGGCCAAAGAGGCCATGGAAGCTGGGAACATGGCGTGCAGTAAGCTCATGTTGCGAAGCGGGATGGCACCATGACGCAGATGTCACGACAGTCCACTCATTTTGTCAGCTGTTTGGCCTGAAAAAGAAGGCTCTGCTTTGCTGCGAGCCGCGCATAGACCATTGCAGCCATGTCGCAGATGTATGTGGTGAAGCGCGACGGAACCCAGCAGGAGGTGAAGTTCGATGCGATCACGAAACGCATCCGGAACTTGTGCCAGGGGCTGGACCCGAAGTACATCGACCCCGTGCCAGTGACGCAGAAGGTGGTGGAGGGCTTCTACAACGGCATCTCCACTGCAGAAGTGGACACCCTGGCGGCCGAGACTTGTGCTTACATGTCGCAGAAGCACCCAGACTTCTCCACCCTGGCGGCTCGCATCGCTGTGTCCAACCTCCACAAGAACACATCGGATTCCTTCAGCGAGACCTGCAGGGTCTTGTATGAGTACAAGGACCGTCAGGGCAGAGTGGCGACGCTGCTGGCAGACGATGTTTGGGATTTTGTGAAGGCCAATGCTGAGAAGCTGGACGCGGCCATCGACTACAAGCGCGACCTCGGCTACGACTATTTCGGCTTCAAGACCCTGGAGAAGTCGTACTTGCTGCGGGTTCACGGCAAGATTGTGGAGCGGCCTCAGCACATGATCATGCGGGCCGCGTGCGGGATTCATTGTGGGGATTTGCCTGCTGCGCTGGAGACCTATGACCTCATGTCTAGGAAGTTCTTCACCCACGCGACCCCGACCCTTTTCAACGCTGGAACGCCAGAGCCACAGATGTCTTCATGCTTCCTGCTGAAGATGAAGGAGGATAGCATCGAGGGCATCTACGACACGCTGAAGCAGTGTGCCATGATCTCCAAGGCTGCTGGAGGCATCGGCTTGGCCATTTCCAACATCCGGGCCTCAGGATCATACATCCGTGGCACCAATGGCAAGAGCAACGGCCTGTTGCCGATGCTGCGAAATTTCAACGAAACGGCCCGATACGTGGACCAGGGCGGCGGCAAGCGCAAGGGCGCCTTCGCCATGTATCTGGAGCCGTGGCACGCCGACGTCTTCGATTTCTTGGAGCTCCGTAAGAACCACGGCAAGGAGGAGCAGCGCGCTCGGGATCTCTTCTTGGGACTCTGGGTGCCGGATCTCTTCATGCAGCGGGTCAAGGACAATCAGGACTGGACTTTGTTCTGCCCCAACGAGGCCTTTGATCAGGAGACCGGCAAGGGCTTGATGGACGTCTGGGGCGAGGACTTTGAGAAGATGTACACCAGGCTGGAAGCGGAGGGCAAGGGCCGGAAGACCATCAAGGCGCAGACGCTCTGGTTCCGAATCCTGGAGGCGCAGATGGAGACTGGCACGCCTTACATGCTGTACAAGGATCAGGCCAACCGGAAATCCAACCAGCAGAACCTGGGCACCATCCATTGCTCCAACCTGTGCACGGAAATCATCGAGTACACCTCGGCGGACGAGGTGGCCGTGTGCAACTTGGCCTCCATCGCCCTTTCGGCATTTGCCGACGCCGAGACCAGCAAATTTGACTTCCAGTATCTCTATGAGGTGACGAAAGTGGTGACCAAGAATCTCAACAAGGTGATCGATAGGAACTACTACCCCGTGGAGGAGGCTCGGCGTTCCAACATGAGGCATCGCCCGGTGGGCCTGGGCGTGCAGGGTCTGGCAGACGCCTTCCTGATGCTGAAGCTCCCCTTCGAGAGCGAGGAGGCCAAGCGCCTGAACCAAGGCGTCTTCGAGACCATCTACTTCGCGGCCTGCGAGGCCTCCTGCGAGCTGGCGGAGGTCCAGGGGCCCTACGAGACCTACGAGGGCAGCCCGGCCAGCCAGGGCCGGCTGCAGTTCGACCTGTGGGGCGTGGAGCCCAGCGCGCGCTGGGACTGGGCCGGCCTCAAGGCGCGCATCGCGCGCAGCGGCCTGCGGAACTCCCTGCTGGTGGCGCCCATGCCCACGGCCAGCACCGCCCAGATCCTGGGGAACAACGAGTCCTTCGAGCCCTACACCCAGAACCTCTACGTGCGCCGGGTGCTCTCCGGGGAGTTTGTGCAGGTGAACCGCCACCTCCTCAAGGCAGAGTTGCACCTTCCACTTTGTCTCACTTCTCACATCCGCCGCATGTTCCCCCCAAAAATCACATTCCCGAAACTCGCCGCCTTTTTTTTCTTCGGCCCTCCCCGACTCCCCGCTTCTCTCCAGGACCTCATCGCGCGGGGGCTTTGGACCGACGCGCTGCGAGTGCAGCTCATCGCCCAGAACGGCTCCGTGCAGCGCTTGGATCTCCCCCAAGACCTCAAGGACCTCTACAAGGCGCCGATTGCGAGCGATTCCGCTTCGCGGTTTGGAGAATGAGATGTGGCCTCAGAACTTTGATCTAATTGTACGTTCCATTGAGCCGATCCCTTCAGACCGTCTGGGAGATCAAGCAGAAGGTGGTGCTGGATATGGCGGCGGACCGGGGCGCCTACATCGACCAGTCCCAGTCTTTGAAGCTTCGAGAGACGTGCAGAGTGGCATGTTGTGGCAGCAGTTTTGCGTTTTGCAGCATGTCAGGAGTGAGGCGTGAGGCGTGTTTCTGTGTTCGAAGTTCACGTCACCGCATGGGACAGGTCACTGTTCCAGAGGTTCTTGCTGAGGCGTTACTGTGTTCACGGCACTGCCTGGTCACTGTTCCAGTGGTTGCGTATAGGGGGGTCCTGAGATTGAACTCAAGGCTTCCCTCTGCCTTTTGTGAAGAGAGCCCTTTTGAGCACCGTTTCAAGTGAGGAACATCCACATGGTGGACGCCACCACTGCGAAGCTTTCGTCTATGCATTTCCATGGTTGGCAGCGAGGCCTCAAGACGGGCCTCTACTACCTGCGCACCAAGGCAGCGGCAGATGCCATCAAGTTCACGGTGGAGGTCGACAAGCTGAAGAGCTCGGATTCCGATGGCAGCACCAGCACCAAGGTCTCTGAGAAGACTGCGATCGAGGCGCTGAAGGCTGAGGGTCCGAAGTACTCCTGCGTGAACTGCAGTGCTTAAGCCATTGCAAATCTGCATGGCCGCGCTGGTCTTACCATGGTAAGCAACAGCTTGGGTGGGGTTGTGAGGCATACAGTGCTGATTACTGTCCCGCCTCCTTCGGGTCTCACTTAGATGAAGTTGCGACTCGACTTCAAGCAAATTGGGGGGGCAACCAAAAAGCTCGCGTGCTCGCGGCCGGCTTGCGGAGCATCGACAGGGATCTTTCGCAAGTCGCGTCTCGCGTCTGAGTCTATGAATTGCCTCGCAGGTGCTGCAGAAGAAGCTTCTTGACAGGACCTCCGCGGAGATCCGTGACAGACTCCGCCGAGAATAGCTTGGAAGCGGCAAGTTCTGTCGCTCTCAGAGAGCCCGAAGCGAAAGTCAAAGGAGACCTGGGAGTCGCCAATACATATGTAGTTTTAAGCGAGGGAAAAGAGAGTGCAAGCTGCTGGCAACTTAAGACACTCCCCCCAAGTCTCAAGCTTTTGCTCGTGACCCGATCTCAGCGCATATGGCTTCAGCTCATAAGCAGGGCTGCGGCCGAGGCGCGCCTCATGGCTTGCGCGCAGATCGAAACAACTCCACGTGAGACGACCCAATCGAAAGCCGAAGTCGGGTGACGTGATCGCCCCCTCAGGCGCAACATGACGTCAACCCGCTGTAGCCGATGTCCAGGCCCCAGCGCACGTTTCTTGCCGTCCCCGACTCTGCATGCGCAGCCGCTTGCTCGAACACTGTGACAGGTTTGGAGCGATGCGTTTCACCTTGCGGGGAGCTTTGTGAAGTCTTGACATTCACACAGCGGGAGTTTGGCAAGCTTTGTTCCTAGCAAACTTGATACAGGCACGCCCCAGGCAATCCAGGCAATAGGCAAAGAGGACGGGCACCTTGCCGGATTTCGCCGATCTTAACAGACCGCGGAGAGCCCTTTTCAAGACTCTGCAAGGAAGCAAGGACATCTATCAAGCGCAAGTGTAGAGCTCAGCACGCAGATTCAGGTCGGCACCAAGGCGGCTCCGAGCGTGAGGCTCCGTCCGAACAGGAACTCATGGCTTCTGTGTTGGCCGCTTGCCAGGCAGCCGGGGCCTTTCCAGAGGAGGCGACGCCTTGCTTCGATCTTTTTGGGGGAAACCTCGGGGTCAAAGGAAAAGCCCTGCAGGAAGAAGTTCCGGAGTACAGCGTTCAGGCCGGGCAGAGTCCTGGTTTGATCCCCATGCTAGCCGAACATATTTTCGAACAGGCGTCGAACAGTTTCTCCACTTGACGCAAGGTGGATGGCTTCGAGCCGGCGCGCCGCGGGCGGCACGCCGGGCCCCCAAGGCGATGTTCGGCAGGGCGACATGAGCAAATGGGCATGTCGACGTTTTTGGTGGCGCCCTTAACAATGATTGTTTTTTCCTTTAGGAGGTGCTTTTAGAGGGAAACCAGAGGAACATTTTTGGACAAGTCCAACTGCTCTGGGAGGCTGGACCTTCCTGGCCGTTTACAGTGGTGGGGCGTCACGGATCGGCGAACTCCTGCTGAGGTGATTTACACCCTGATCATCCGGAGAGGTACCGCTCACTGGCCCATCCGGAGACGCTTCCGGCAGGCGGATTTCATCCCTTGGATGCTGGTTTGTTGAGCATGGCCATGAAAGGCAAGGGGGTAGAGCAACCCGAAAGAAACAGCGGGACGCCCCGTGTGTAGGTTGCGATGTCATTTCAGGTGGTGAAGCTGCATGAGCAGCTGCTGCAGAGTTTCGGCAGGCGCATCAGGGAGAAAGGATGTTTGCTTTGGAAAGCGACAAGGTAGATGGTTTGGGGTGGCAGTCTTCGAGATTCCTTGGCATCTGTGTTTGGCGCCTTCGCAAGCATTTGGCTGAACCGGTGAATATGATCGCACGGAAACCGGCGAACAGGTCCTCGATGAAGGCTGGCCTTCCAAAGCTGCCACCGAAGGTGACCTGCAGGTCCGAGAGAGCCATTCGCTTTTCCATTCGCTTTTCCATTCGCTTTTCTATGCTTTTTGCGTGCTCGGATGGGCGACCCGAGATCTGTGTTCTGCGGTCAGCAAGACCAGCAGTTCCTGCAGAATCGAGCCTCGGACTTGGGCTCGCGTTCGGACGGTCGAGCTTGGCGCCCGACGATGGTCGCTCATTGGCTTCCAGCTTGATGCAGTCGCGACATGATTCGTTCAGGATGACCTTAGCTTGAAGTTCTTGGAACTACTATTGTCAGTGCTGTTTTATTCTGCAGCCTTGCTTCTTAAGGGCAATCTTGAGCATGTTGTGTGGACTGGGGGCTTACATGGGCAGCTTGGTGCCCCAGAGGACTCAAGAATTGAGATATCAAGCTTATGGCACATGGCAGTGATGAAATGGTTCGCCTCACTGCTTTCCGCGGTTGCAGCGGGCCCAGCAGAGCAGCGCCTTGTCGCACGATTGCGTTTTGCATGCTCGGCGCAAAAGCATCGCACGAAGAGAAGAACTTGGTCCTTGCGGGCACGACTTGGTTCGCAGATTCTTCCGCAAGTCGAGGTATCTCTCGGAGGACTTCTTTCCAGGCATGCACATCCTGGAGGCCGTTGGCGCCGGACGCTTCCACGTCTTTCCTCGAGGCGGGTGCGTCTTCGTCTTTCCGTCGCGGACTTCAGTTTGAGGTCAGAAAGCCGAGCCTCGGCTGCTGCAGCTGGAGGGAGTCAGCTTCAGGAAGGACCGCGAACGACACTCGGCCGACGGCATTTGACGAGTCGACGAGTCGACGGCCGACGGTGCCGACGGTTCCAATCCGAGGCCTGGAGCAGTTCCTGGCGCCGCCGCCTTTGGAGCCGCTGCAGCTGCCCTGGGCGCTCTTCACGCCTCAGGGCCGCCCCGTCGCGGATCTGCGAGGAGCGCGGAGCGCTCCTTACGCCTAAACATGTGCGAGCGTGCCGCCTGGTTGCCTGTGCACCGGGGGGAAGGGCCTTGCAGTCTGACGGGACGTCGACTGCCTTCAGTTGATGGAGCTTGGTGAATCGGACTGTCAGGACTTCAAGAGTCGCCACTTCTTTTCCTGCTGGAGATTGGGCAGTGGATGTGGCCGGCTGTTCGTGTGGGCTTTGAGCACAATGCTGCCTAGCTGCATTGTGTCAAATGAATCAAGGGAGACTATCATAGACAATCTGTTGGTGGGGAGGAAGGCCCAACATGGCAGAGGAGTTGTGAGTCGAACTAAGAGCATGTCTCAGGTGAGTGACGTGCACGAGGGGCGCGTGGCGACACTGCGGACGCTTTCTTTGCGTCCGGTGATTTTCGAAGTGCAGCAGCTCGGAAGCTTTCGGAGATGTCGCTTCTGTAACGTAGAGCTCACCCAAGCGCTGCCCGTTTTGCGCACCCGGACTTCTGTGCCTTTATGCACGGCACGGGGCGTGGCAGGATTTGTTGCCCTTTGTTGAGGGAGTTAGCTTTCCGCTAGCATCTCTCCATTTCCTGGTCTCTTGGTCAACGCCAACCAAGCCGGCCCCAAAATATTGGCGCTTGCCCCTGTCCCAACTAAGACCCAGTGCCGTGGGGGGGTGGGGGGGGAAAAAGGAGCCACGTGGGCATCTTGGGCCGGGCGAGGAACTTCATGAGCGACGAGGAGACGGATCAGGTCATGGCATTCGGGGCGCAGCAGGGCTTGGTCAGCTCCAAGGCCCGTTCAGACGGACCCGACGAGACGAGGTCCGGAGACGAGTAAAGACGTGGCGGGAAATGAGGAAAGTTGGGATGGTGAGGTGCTTTTTACCTTCCCTTAGTGACTCTACGTGCTCCTCATTGCAGGGTCATCCCTCTCTGATGCCATGATGTCGCCATAGGTAGCACGAGGATTTACAAGATGAAGATTACTTGCCAGGGCCAGTTGAACAGCGCGGACGTCAAGAACCGCAAGTCTCACACAGCTTTCCGCACTTCAAAGCAGGCTTGGCTGCTTGGCTGAATTCGACTGCAGTGGAACCTCCAACGTGTTGGGCCGAGGCTTTCGAATGCGATGTCCCCCTTGATTGCTGAGCTGGACGAGAGAGCCTCAGAGAAACAGCGACTTGCGAGATCCTTCGGCACCATTTCTTGGGTTCAGTGAGCCCCTCAGCCCAATCCTCGGTCCAAGGAACTGCGCGTCTGACTCGCATCCCTGCCGAGAACAACGAGCCTGCACAGCTCTTGCGCTACGACGAAGGCGCCTACTACCACAGCCACATGGACTGGACAGAGCTGGACTTCTATCCAGCTCCCTGTCAGTGGTATTTGGCGCTTCCGTGTTCTGACGGGATGATGTTAGCATGTAATTAATCTAAACATATCCGGAACAGAGGTGTGTGTTGTGTTTGCGTTGAACGGGGATTTGAGCTTTCCATACCAGGCGAATGGGCGTGGACAATCTGAGGACCAGAGGCACATTTGGGCGAGCTCCCACTTGGGGCACTTCGACCGCATCGCAACGGTCTTCTGGTACCTCAACGACGTGGCGGTGGGGGGTGAGACGGTCTTCCCGAAGCACGGCCAGCCGATCTGCTCCCCGGAGTCTAAGGGAGGTCCCAAAGTACGGACCTGCTTGGGTGCAACAGATCCAGCCACTCGCCACGTGGTAAGCTTTGACGACTTTCTCTCTGGTAAGGCCCCATGTTTGAAATGCGATACGTCAAAAGAATCCATCCCTGAAGAACTTTGGGACTAAAACTCGGTAGTGAGGTTGACTGAGATGCTTTTGGATCTAGCCGAACTGTTGATTTGGGTGCAGTCTTCGAACCGGCTTTCAAGTTTCGAACACGGATTCAATGCGGAAGCCCTATGTCCGGTTCGGAGAGAAGGACATGGCCAGCTGCGAGGGCTTCAAAGTGCGCCCCAAGCGCGGCAGCGTCGTGCTCTGGTACAACTTCCTTGCTTCTGGCCGAGGGGATCGCAATGCCTTACACGCCGGCTGTCCGGTAGGCACCCAGTCTTCAAGGGCAAATCTGTTCGGCTAGGGGGATGGAGAGCAACATTGGCTTCTTGCTGAGCTTGTATCGAACTCTTATTGCTGCCAGAGATGGTTTCCGAGTGAGGTACTAACCTCACCAAGTGGTCTGCCAACAAGTGGGTCCGCAACAAAGCTCTGGGTAGCCCCAGCCAATGGATTGAGGGCCATCCAGCACTGCAGCGCTTTGGCTGGCATGGCGAGGACGCGGAGGCGCCACCCGAGTGTGCAAAGTAGGAGCATCACGTATGCCAGGGCTCTTCTTTTTGGGAAAGATGGTCATGGTTCTCACGAGCGGATTCCTTGCAGGTTTTGCGGGGAATATTGAGAGGGCATCCTGATGAGAAGCCGATTGAGGGGGCATTCTGATTGCGAGGGCGATTCGACCATGCACATTCCGAGCGTTGCTCGCTGGAGCCGAAGCAATCACAATAACATGAGTGTGCCACAGCGAGTCGATGGGGAACACCTGATCCTGACTTCTTGTTTGAAGCATGCCAACTGCCGCGCGCGGTTTGGACTCATTGTTTGACTTCATGCAGCAACAGTGAAGCGTCGAAGCGTCCCGTGGCAAGTCTTGTGCTTGTCAGAGCGTCACTTCTCCTCTTCGCACCGTTCCGCAGGTGGGGAGCTGTCACATCAGTTTCAAGAACGACTTCGAGAAACAAGTTGCTCTTCTGTGGCTGTCTGGCAGCGGCAGCAGAGAGCTGGCCACCATCAGAAGAGGCGGCCGGTTGTCGCAGGCCTCCTACCAGGGGCATCGCTTCCAGGCGGGCGCCGAAAGATTTGAGGCCTGCCCTCCCATTTGGTCCATTTGGCCGAGCCGACTAGCTTCCGAAAGAACTTTCGAGCTCGAGGATCCGGAGAAAGGCAGAAACGCTCGCGAGACACCTCGTCCTGAGGTGAAGTCCGAGGAGCAGCTGAGCAACGAGGTGACCTGTGCGCCGCCTGGGGCAGACTTTGTGGTCACGAGCAACCTCGAGCTGCTCCCAGCGCCTGAGAGTGGCGAGTTGTGAGCGCGCGGGCAAAATCGCGTTTTGCCGCTCGCAGTTGGCATCCAGTGCATCACAGACTTGGGTTGAGCATGAGCAAGCAGTTTTCCAACCAAGGCCCTCCAAATGCAGGAGTACTTTGAGGTGGTTGGATCATTGCTCATTTCCTGTCAGTGCCCAACACACACTTGAGCTTGTTGTTGCAAGGCAGTTGCCAGCTCTTGTTTGTCATGTTGGCACGGATGGTGACAGAAGCATTGAAGACACAAGGTCCTTGGACGTTTGTTTGGTCCTCGCAGGCGCTTCTTCGATATATTCCATTCGTGGATCAGTGCGAGGCGTACACTTTGGCTCACGCTGCCAATGCTCCCTCACCGCCTCACCGCCAGGCTTTGCGAGAATTCCTGTGCAGTGTTGACGTCAGCAACATGAGCCCGAGCCTTGGAATCCCCTCAGTGTGAAACGCACTTAGAGCGGCCTGCACAAGAGACACACACACACACAAGCTGACTCTCCCACTTCCCCATGTCGATCAGTATATTTTGACCGTGGCGCACAGCATGATATCCTTGATTCTGCACCCGGCTGATTCTAGGTTTTCTCCCCTTGAGTCGGTCCTTCTGCGTCAGAATGGGGCCCAATGCTCTTAGGCTACGATGCGCTGTTGGACCTTGAGCAGGCTGAATCCGAGTCATTGTTGCAGCGGTGAAGGGGGCTTTGCTGGGTGCGAGATCGTTTCAGTCTTAGTTTTGGTTCAAATTCCTCGGTTCGGTCCTAATTCTGATTTGGGACATCCCAACTGTTGTGCTCAGAGTTTGCTCCGCGGCAGTGGGCGGGGACGGAAGAAGCCAGCGGCGCGGCGTGTTGTCCGCAGAAGCCGTTAATGAGCTGGCCTGGGGCAGATTGTTGTGTCTTGCGGTTTATGGTTTTGATATGATTTGATTTGATCTGGTTTGATCTGTTTTCTGGGTTTATTTGGTGTTGACATGATGTGACTTGATTGATTTGCAATCGCTTTAGCACAAAGAATATGCTTTTGCTATGAAAGGGGCATTTGAAGGCTGTCAACATCCACTTTCGACCAAGCACTGGGTCCCGAGACCAATTCGTCCATGTTTGCGAGAAGGGGCGACTGTCCGGATGGTTTCTAAAGGCACCGGATTCGCCGGAGGAAAACGGGGGGCGAGTCAGGCGCTGGGCCGTGGGGGCCCAGAGCTGCAAGTGGACCCAGCGCTGGTGGCAGCGCTTCCAAAGCGCCAGGCAGATCTGTGCGTCTTTGCGTCTTTGCGGCTTTGTCCTTGTTTGTGTCTTTCTTGTGTGTTTTTGGGCCTTTGTGTTTGAGAAGGACTCCTATCTACTCTCGAGCCTTGAGCGATCAGTTTCCATGGGTTGATGAAGCGCAGGCGATTCTGTTTTTGTGTTTGGCCCCGTGAGGCCTTCGCATCACATTTGGGCTGCTGCGTAATTTGCCAGGAGCCGTCTGTCGCAAGCGTGCGCTCAAGCAATGGTAGGCATTGGTCATCTAGGTTCAAGAGGTTCAAGGGAAACCTGTGCACGATGATGTGGCAACCAGCGGCGTTGTGCGTCTGGCCGATTGCACAGGTTACAGTGTTTCCAAAGGCTGCGTGACAAAGACGTTGCAGAGCTTGGCCAGAGGGAGCATGCTTCACTTTTGGACTTCTTTGTTCCAGAATTGTTGCGTCTCTGGGTTCAAGCCACCAGAGGAGACCATGGAGAAGGATGAAGACGTCAGGGTCTTGCCCTGTGGGCATGAGTGCCCCCGCTTCTGCAACCTCTGCCATTGATGGTCTCGGATTCTTGTGTGCGACGCCATGGGCTAGAGGCTGAGGAGATTGCGGCGAGGTACCATTTCGAGTGCATCTCACAGTGGATCAAGCAATGCAACACGTGTTGCGCGCTGCCGGCAAGTACTCCTTTCAGTGTGCTTAGTATGAAGAGAAGACTGGTGCCAGGTGTGCCACAGCATGGCTGTGGCTCAGCCGGACTGCGAGGCCGGCGTCCCAAGCAATTCAAAAGCAATTCGGGTTGCGTTGCGCCAGGATCTTGGCAGCACCTGACGCGTGCGGCCAGTCCGTTCGGGCGAGTCGCCCCTGGGGTCAAGTGGATGAATTGAGGCCAAGCCGCCCAAAACGTTGCATTGGCCCACTGCGGGGCGAGTCAACGCGGGCAGGGCGCACCTTTTGCCTTGGGAATGTTTAAGCGATGCGTCTATTGGCACCTGGTCTGAGGGTGGCTGTGATTCCAGCCGACTCTGGGGCTTGCCCAGCAGGGCATGCTGTGGCACTCTTGAGACTTTAAAAGCCGCGGCTGGAGCTTTGCATGGAGCGACAGCTTCAGGGCTTCCCCAGTGGAATCCAGTCCCGTGGCAGTTGTAAGTTCTAAAGCTCAAGTCGTGAAAGAATCAGCCAACCCAAGCTCTGCAGTGACTTGGTTATTTGCTTGCCGCTCAGACATCTTCCAGGGTAGCCTTTTCGTGAAGCGCCCAGTCCACGTCCGGCGCCACAAAGCGAGCGCATGTTTGCCCATGCCCTTCGCGAGTGGAACTCTTGCTTCGGCCCCCTTCATGTGCCCGTGCTTTCATTCCAACCGGAAGACTGCGGCAATCCTGATTTCGCCAGGAATCGCTTGTTGTATTCCCTGCAACTTTTGGGGCTGTCAAGGCACAGCCCAGCCAAATTCACCAATGACATTTCTAGGCGCCTCAACTTATTCAGTTGTGGCCCTTGGACCCTGCCACCTTTGGGTGCCTTTTTTGGCTACCCCATACCAAGGTTGGACAGCCCATGAGTTTGATGCCTTGCTTTCATTTTTGCACTGCTTGTCAGATCATCGCGAATCAGCTGATGGTTTCGAGCCACTTCCACAAAACAAACACCTGCCAGGCGCAAAATAAAACAATTCCAGAAGACACAAGCAAGCGCCATCGAGATCACCTCTCAAAGGCAGAGATGCAGCCTCTGAAGCTTAGAGTTGCACCTCGCACTCAAAGTCTTAGAGCATTTCCATGCAAAGCAGCGCTTCCTGACAAAGTAGCACGGAGTGACGATGCGCATTGCCAGAGCGGAAGCGCTCCTTTGCCAGAGATGGGGCGATGAGGCACTCAACGTTTTGCGACTCACAAGCTTAAGATATGTGACATATGCGACGTACCGAGTTTCGAATCTGCGCGTTTCATTACCAGGGCCTCCAGATCACCTCGCGCAGCTCGCCCCCGCGGCGGCGATTGGCCCGGATGCCACGTGGCGCATGGGGCCGCGCCCTGGATCCTGGGCTTGCAGGAGCCTTTGCGCCTCGCGCAGCTTGAAGCCAAGTGCAGCGCTTTTGTTAAAGTTGCTATGGCCCAATGACTTTGGTCACCTCGTCTTGTTTGTCGGAGGATGTGTTCTTCGCAGTTCTGTTCACCTCCATGAGTGAGTTACTGGCCGCTGCAGATTGGAGGACCTGCAGTCAGCGGGCTTCGAATCAGAAGATCTCCCAGACATCTCCATAGATCCCGAGGACAAGGTCAGCACCTTGGGATTTTTAGGGACTAGTTGATTCAAGAGGCACGACACTCCAGGTTCTCAGCGTGTTTAACTCGACCGAAGAGGAGCGGCGCCCTGGTTCAATAGCAATCTGGTTTTCTGAAGAGTCCCTCGAGCCCCCCACGCTTCCATTGAGGTGCTATTGCCTCTCCCTGGCTGCAGCTGCTCGTGGCCGGGCGCCCCTGCGGCCCGGCCAAGCGCGCAAGGAAGATGGCTCCCTGGCAAACGAGAGAGGCGACTGCTTTCTTTGGTCCACTGCTGAGGCATCATTCAGGAGCAAGCAGCAAGCCAACCAACTCGGCGAAATCATCGCACCGAGGAAGCATTAAGGAGATCATCGCCTTTGTGCTTCTTGGAGTTAATTTCAGGTCAGATTCCTCGCAGGTATTCCTTGTTCTCCAGGCATATGGCCGTGGGTCAACACCAATGGTACCATTTTGGGGTATGTGGACTCTCACCCTGCCGCTCCCAGGCTGGTGCTGCCGGCGAAGAGCGTGATGGACGTGTGCAAGCTCCGAGGGCCCGCGGCAAAGGCAGGCCAAGACGGGTGGCGGAAGATGGCCATTGAAAGGGCCATTTCCTGAAAGGCGTTTGCAGATTCTCGGTGTTGGCAGTGTTGCCAGTCTTGGCTTTTGCATCAAGATATCACGGTCTCGCACCAGTTCAGGACGTACTCACTTTGGAGCTTCAGTCAGACATTGTGACATTGCAGCCGCCGCCCCCGTTGCTGGCAGGCTCGGTAGTAGGATGGCAACTGTTCACAGCTACGCATTTGTTGCTCGAAGCTTTGGTGAGCTGATTGTCTTGCCAAGGCTTCTCCTACGGCTTCCCTTTGGCCGGCGGACCTTTCCTCTGCTCGCAAGGAGCGGAGGGTCGGACGTCCCTTGGCTGCCCGGGCTGCCCGTGAGGCCACGGCGGGAAGCTCACGCACTTTGCGCATCCGTCGACGTTCTACGCCTTGGACTTCGACTGCCCGGTGGGGACTGCCGTGCTGGCCATGGAGGATGGCACGGTCACTGAAGTGCGGCAGTCGGACACGGTGTCAGGCGAGGCACGGTTTCAGGTTTCAGTCCCCGTCTTTGAGATGCTGGGAGCGGCCAGGCATCGACGTGCGCAACTTCTTCAAATGGAACCAGGTCACCGTGAAGCAGTCAGACGGCACGTGGGCGGAGTATGTGCACGTGGAGGCTGGGATTGCAGACTTTGGCGGTTCTCAGCGTGAAATCCCATCGAATCACCGGAGCTTCGCTTCACCTTGTGCCCAGGCCAACAGCGCCCAGGTGGGAGTCGGCAGTCAGGTGCGCCGCGGCCAAGTCTTGGCGCGCAGTGGCGACGTGGGGTTTTGCCCCACCGCCCACCTTCATGTGGTGCGGCGCCCAGAGAGACATGAGCTGGCCGTGCTCTCTTTTTCCCCTTCTGCTCCCTTTCCGGGTTTGATTCTGGATGATTCTGGTCAGAATGCCCAAGCTTGAGTGCACATGAGACCTTGGTTGGAGCCGTGTCAGCTGAGAGGAGCTGCACCTGTCCGACGAGCCGAAAGCGCCTTCCGTGCCCTTCGGCTTCCGGACGGCCCAGGCGGGGGATTTTTCGCCGCGCGCTTTTCGCGTGTCTGGCGCCCAGGGCGAATTCCGCTGCGAGGAGGGCAAGTGGTACGCGGCAGAGGGCGAGTGCGAAAGAGGCGCAGCGCCCGAGCACGCTGCCTGCGTCTTCTTTGGTCAAGTCAGAAGCTGTTCTGTGGCCAAGTTTGGCCCAAGCCATGAAGCAACGTCGAATGCTCATCCTTGAGATATCAGAGACAATATCTGAAGCAATACTGACAGAAGACTCTGTATGTTTGATAACTGTGAGCCCCAGCTGAAATCACCGGAGTTGGAATCTGGCTGAATGCTTGGGATCGCAATTATGAGGGGCTTTGACCTGCAGCCTCTCAAGACCCAATCCGACAGTCGATACATTTTGACAGCTGTTCGCGAGCGCCATGTTTGACTTCGACGAGCTCGAGGAGAAGTATGAGGCCCGCCCCGCCGGATTTTTTTCGTCGCGAAGTTCGTTTGCGCACGCCGCAGGCGAAGCGCGCGCCCAAAGAGCCGAAGAAGGCCACGGTTCCGAAGCCGAAGGCGGCGCAGGCGGCGCAGGCGGCGCAGGCGGCCGAGACGAAGCCCAAGGCCGCGCCGAGGAGATGCGGCAGAGCCTCGGGTCCGCGGGTCCGCGGGTCCGCGGGTCCGGCGACAGAGAGATGGCGGGGTGAGGAGCAACGGGTCGCCAGCGCCGATGAATCGCAAGATCCGGGCTGCGGCCTTGAGTCTTCTGGGCCGATTTCCATGAAAGCTGCGCCCAAGAATCGCAACTGCTCTGAGCCAGCCTGGTTTTGACTGACCAGCTAGGTGCTTGCGCTTCATGGTGGCGGGTCCAACGCCAACATCATGCAGTTCCAGGCCGGTAGGCAAGTAGGCCTCAGGTTCAGGAAAGTCGGCGTCTCTCAGGTCATGCCGCTGAGACGTATCCTGGGCGACCAGGCATGCGGCGTGTGGCTTCTTGGCTCCAGCTTGTCAGCTTGGGCGCAAGGCAGAGTGGGTTTTCCTGAACGGCGGCAGAACCTGGAAGCGGGGACCCTCAGATGCCGTGAGGCAATGCAATGTTGGCACAGCTTGGCCAAAAGGCCAAAAGAGTACTATGTGAGGTTGCAAATCCATCGAACACTTGCGAGACTTGAGGTTCGATGAAGGTCAACAGCCTCCAGAGATCATGAAGGCGGAAGCCAGAGGTTGAGAGAGAGAGAGAGAGAGCCTGAAGAGCCTGTCTTCATTGTGGGGCTGTGTAATTCCGGGCGCTGAGACCCTGGCAGCTGGCATGCCATTCTATGGCTGGTACGCGGCAAGAGCCTCAGTCTTGCCTTCTAGTCGCGGAACGGTCCATCGTGCCATCTCGTCTGAGGTGGAAACGAAGGACAAAACGGACCGGCCCTACCAGGAGCATGCCCAGGGGGCAGGTGAGTGCATCCAGCGCGCTTCTTTGGCAGGAGAAGTTGTTCGACCCCGAAGTTGACTTCACCTATACCGAGGCCTGGCGGGTGATTGTTTGCAAGCAGCCAGCCTGAAACAGGGCTGGTGATGGTGTCTTTCCACAGGTGGAGGCTGGCGTGGACCGCGTTCTTGCCTACATCAAGGATACGCGCATTTGGACTTTTTGTCTTTTTTTTTTTTCTGATTCTTCTTGGCTAACACGACCATTTTGGGGTTCCCCCATTTGAAAGCAAACCCCTTATGGTCAGATGCCTCGTGAACGAGCGGGTACCATCCTTATCGCTGCGAGGATGAAGGGCCTGTGGATGTCTTGGTCGGCGCAGCGCTCAGCCCACGAGTTTCCAAGTGAGCTCCAAGACAAACACCATTGTTTGCTTTCAAGTAGCCAGTTTTACTTCCCGGGGTGTAAAGCAAGAATTATATGGCCATCATATGGCATGTTTAAACACGTGTAGAAAAACAAACTGGCGCCGAGACTCAAGGTTGCAGGGCGCTTCCCAAGTGGCCGCATGTCCTTGAGGATTTTCCCAGGGCTGCATTGTGAGCCATCTCATGGCTGCAGTTCTCCGCGAGCGAGGCGGGGCATAGCCAGAGCAGGCCTCGATAGATGCACAGTCCAATGGGTTGGGGTCCTGAGCTTCCTGTTTTGCAAGGGTCTCTTTGCCAGACCTAGCCATCGTGCTTCAAACCGCAGCGAGTGTGGGGAGTCGGGTCAGCGCATTGCGCCGTTCCGCATGTCATCCAGCCCGGCTCCAGGAAATTGAGAGACACACATACAGCTCTTGCGCCACAGTCCTTTGTCAGAGTTTGTCCTTTTCTGATGTCAAATCTGGCAACTCCCAGAACAGTAAGTATCCCAATGGCTTCCACGCCTTAGCGGCCCGGCCCCGGTGCCACATGAGGGCATGCCTTTCCTGGCAAGCCAAATGGACACGGAGGAGGGGAGAGGGTTGTGAGGAGCAAGGCGACGCTGAATCACGTGACTCCAGCTGGCTGCCTTTTCCTTGAAATTGATGTCAAGTTCAAGGCACCTCCATGCAAGTTGCCAGGAGGATCGGCTGCCCGACGAATCCAAACGAAGCCGCGCAGCGGCCATTGACAAGTCTTTAGTACGACGCTTGACCAGCGTTGAAGGCTCGTGAGGCTTCTTTCCAAGCCCCCCGGACTTGCCCAGGGCCCAACAGCGCTTTGCGCCTGCCAAAGCCAACGTATTGTATCTCATTGCTCAAGGCGCCCCGTGCCTTACCTGTTCAACTGATATCAACTGAGTTCAGCTGTTCATTCGAGGATTTCTCCGGAGCTGCGACCTGCCCCGACCGCTGCGGCTACTGCGGCTGCTGGGCCTGTGCCGGGGCTTCTTCCGGCGATGGCGGCTCCGCCATAAGAGCCCAGGTCGGCCAAATGAAAACAGCCTCATGGCACTGCCATGGCACTGCCATGGCACTGCCATTGCGTTGCGGTGCCCATTCGTGGCTATGCCCAAGGTATACTCTCGGGCTTCTGCTTCTCGTGGCTATGTGCCTGCACGCAGATCAGAACCTGGCAGCTCCCAACTTGATGCTTGGCAATGGTGCGGCCCAACATATGCAAGTATGAAATCTCGCCATGAGTGGCGTTTGGCTCAATCTGCGAGGAGTGCCATCGCAGAGGAATTCGAGCTGTCGGCGCTGGAGAAAGATAACAAGCTCGGCGGACAAGTTCAGCTCGGCGTCACGTCAGCAGAATGCCAGCAGCATTTGAGCAACGAACTCACACTGAGCCGATGCCGGACTGCCGGACTGTGGTGCCATGTGCCTCGCGCTGTTGCAAATCCGAGAGCAGAGTTGGTTTCTTCGCATGCTTAGGCTTCTTCTTCGTTGGAGGACAGTCAAGACAGCAACGTGGGTGTTGAACGCCTGGTTCTGCTTGCGCAACGGCAAGCTACGCGAGCGCTCACATTTATGTGTAAAATTCACAACGCCTTCAAAAGGTACTGTACATGTTGTCTTTCAATTTCTGTCAGTGGGGTTTCAGTTTGTTACATGAACTGCTACACTGCGAAGCTATGGCAATCGCAGGAGCTACGAGTCTAGCTTTAGGGCCTTTGGCCGATCGCATGAATCGCGTGAATCTGCTCTTAGCCGTGGTCATCTTGGGGAGTGTGCCCTGTGCGCTCATCAAGTGCTTTGGCAACAAGTCTAAGTGTCCTTTGCAATGCGCGAAGTGTACTGCACGTACTGCACCCCCCGTGCCTTCTAAGTCACTCCAGTCCGAGGTACATTCCGACAGGCCAAGATGGATTCCTGCGCCTGGTCAGACGGAAACAATTGGATTTTGAATCGAGCTACCGGCCGCTTTTGCCAGGGACAGCAATCTGCTTTGCCGCAGCTGAGGTGGTACTTTCTTTGTCGAGTACTCACAGGACCGGTGGTTTTTGAGTTTTGATGGGAAAGCAGGCATCATAGAGAAGGCGGAGGCAGTTCGGGCTGGGGGGCTCTTGAGGTTCGATGATCAAGTGTGGGCATGCCATCCTGGCCTTGTGCAAAGATGAGGCAAAAGAGGCAACTTCTCAATAACTTCTCAGTATCCGTGCAAATGCCTTCAGGAGTATCTGTGGGGGGATCCTTCCCTTTGCTGTACTCGCTCTGCAGCTCGGATCCTTTTGCTCAGTGATTGGCGATCGAAGCCCTCGAAGCCATTTGTGTTGCACATGTGGCTCAAAAGTAAACGGCTCGGGTCACGCAGGTTTTAGTCCATCTTTCCAGTTACCAGCTGGATTTTTTTTTGACCGCCATTGTGCAAGGCGGCGACCTGGCAGCGCCGGAGCAGCGGGGCATTGTCTCCGCGGCCATGGGCGTGGCCACCTCCGTGGGCGTCGCCTCAGGCCGCGTAGCCGAGTCGCCGCGTTTTTTCTTCTTCCTTTTTTCCTTTTTTCTTTTTTTCTTTTCCCGGCGCTTGTGCCGCGGGGCCGATCGGTGTGCCGCGAGGACAGCTGCTGGCGGGATTTCTGGGCCCTCGCATGGGCTGGCGCATGCCCTTCGTGGTGGCTGCCTGGCAAGAGGGGGTCTCGCTGACTCGGCACCGGAGCTTCGATGTTCGAACTTGCCTCGGTGTGGCTAATTAGAGTTTGCGGGAGCTGGCAGGTGGCATACCCGGCGATCTTCTTCGCTTTGCTGTTGTGGGCCACGGTCACCGATCCCCGGAAGTTCCGTGGAAGCCGAGAGGACGGGCTCCGGAGCACTGGGTCATGCTCTCCAAAGCCAAGCGAGTTTTTTTGTTTTTGCCGACACCCCATCTGAGCTCAAAAGAGGGGAGGTCAAAAGCAAGCCCCCGGATCCCCCTCCAAAGGTCACGGTTGGGATGCGCCATCGGCTGAGGAGGGCCTGGAGCTGGCGGTGCGCAGCCCCAAGGGTGGGTCCAGCAGCTCTACGGAGGCCTACAATGCGGAGGCGGCATTGGGAAATGATCAGCTGAGCCACAATCAACACCCGGGTAGATGAAGGTTAGTAAGGCACAATCCCAACCAGAAATAGCTGCGGCCACCTTCATACTTCTTTACATGGTTCTGGGTGGACCATCTTAATTCCGGGTTTTGATGCTTAGCGCAAGCTCGGCATCTCCTGAATTCCGAGAGTCGCGAAAAGAGTCGCCAGGTGTCTGATGCGCCGCTATCGGAGGTTCACGAGCGCATTCCCAGCCGGGTGGCATAGGTGGTTTGGGGCTATGACAAGGGCAGCGGGGGTTAGTTAGAGGCAATCGGTTTTGGACATCCCTGTGCATGGCTTCTCATGGCCTGTCCTTGTCTGCCGTGAGGCCACCAGCCGCCGGAGATCAAAAGCACCATCTCCGCGGAGCTGACCGCTGATCCCGCCCGCTCCCTCACGAGGTTGAACCAACGGCAGTGGCAAAGTGCATCCGAGGCCGTGGACGGTCATGCCGCCCGCTTCCAAGACATGACAGGCGACATGGATCAAGGCTGCATGGGCCCAGCTTAGGCGGTGACGGACTGCAGCCGCTTCGGCCTCGTTTGGAGAGGTGCGCTTCCTTTGAACTTGTCCTGCGCATTTGCAAGATCATTCTGCATGACACTGCCTGTGTTCATGCAGGAGGCAACATGTAGCAATAACTGAGCATTTGCAGAAAGGAGACTGAATGTACAAGTAAACCTGATGTAGCGCCTTCACACTATCGCAGCGGCACACAGGGCTCACCTTATGGCGCAAAGATTCAGTAGAAGATGCTTCGGGCTTTTGGAGGGAGGCAGCAGAGGAGGAGGAGGAGGAGGAGGAGGAGGAGGAGGAGGAGGAGGAGGAGGAGGAGGGGGAGCATCCGAAGGAAAATGAGAGCATCAGCAGGAGGAGTGGGGTAGGATGAGAAGGATAAAGACTTGTTGGTGAGAGTTATACTTTGGGAGCAAAGTATGCCACGCCCTTCAGAAAGCAATGTCAGCGTCTCAGCTTGTTCTGGCAACATCTTTGTGTCGTCAACTAACTTTCGTGGGCAGAGCCTTAGCACGTTGAGGCAAGTGCTTGAAACTGAATTCCGATCCTGGCGTCACATGAGACCAACTGGCGGAGGAGTCGATCACATCTTTTGCTTTGCACGGGCGCGAAGCCAAAGGAGCTCACACTGCTGCTCTACTGTTGATGAGTTTCACCTCTTGAATGTTTGCCAGTGATGCTTGGCTTGGACAGATCGAGGGGTGAGGTAATCGTTTGCGCTCCCATCAGCAAACCGGCCATTCCCTCAACGAGCATCATCATGCGGAGCGGACAGCACAGTTTGACACGGATGACTGCCTGTGAAGGTGGGAATTGAGGAATTGAAGCCACGGACACGAGCCCTGCATGCTTTCAAAGCCATTTGGAGCTGGGGCCATCAGTTAGTTACCACTGCGCTTGCACTCATTGCAGCGCGAGGCCGGTCAAATCGCATCTTCCTTTGCCAAGCTGTGCCTGGTTGCATCGCTTGGTCGACAGCAGCTTGGTGCAATGTGTTGGGCATGCAAGGTGTTGCCGCTCATAACTCATACATCAATGGGTCAATGGGAGAGTCGATTTCAAGTTTGAGGTTTCAGACGCAGAGTAGGCAGAGAATCAAGTCGTGCGTTGTTTTAGCAAGGTGACAACTTTTGTTCCAGACTACTTGCACAAGGAGCAAGGCGCGATATTGCCAGCACTGTGTATGAGATGCCAGCACAAACCTCATTCATTTCCTGCGTTAAATGAAAGCAGCTATCGAAATGTCAGGAGGGACATTGGGATCTCACCACTGACCACCGCTTGCTTGCATCTTATATTAGACCCTTTGGTGGAGCCACACTGCCAGGCCTTTCCGTGCAAAGCGCCACACTGCTTGTCTCCTTCTTTGGGGCCTCCTGCCTGGTTTGGGCCCTTACCGGCGCCGCTATCGGGCAGCGAATCTACAACCGAAACTTGGCAGGGGGGCGGGCAAGCGGCCAAAGTCTTCCGAATTGCCGGTCCCACGTTCATGCGGACTCGGGTTGTTCGTGACAGTCCAACAACGTCAATTTGGGCCAACGAGGCAACAAGGGCCATTTGGCCTACCTTATGTCGAGTTGCACTGCCTTTGCCGTGGCGCCTTTCTTACTGCTTATCAACTCCTCCCCGGATGCGCTGCGACGGGGCTGCAGCGAGTGAGAAGCAAAGCACGAGTTTGCTGATGCATACGACTTGAGGCAATCTGCTAGCGAGGATTCCCAAGGCCACGTCTGAGTTGCTTGGGGCCATAGCCTGCCGTACACGTGCCAGGTGCCGCTTTGCCATCGGGGTGGGCGCTTTTTGTCGCCTTCCTTGGTGGGGCAGCAGCTGCTTTCCGACTGCAGAGAGAAGACAACACGAGGGTTTTCATCTCCCAGGGTGGAGTGCCTTTGTGGGCTTGCTCTAAGGTCACCAATCCGAATCTGAAAGGCCTTCTGATGATCCATGGCTGCAAGTGGCGAGAAGCGACAAGACCATGCAGCAAGGAAACGAGAAGTGTTTGAGTCCATACCCTGACCCAAGGAATGTAAATACCTCGGCAACCAGAGGCACTGTCTTTGCGCTAGTCACCAAGCTGCGATTTGTGCAACACAGACCAAAGAAACAGAGGCATGGACCAATGGGATATGCGTGGTCAAGGGCCAAGGTCATGTGCCCTATTCTGATTTCCGAACGCCACAGCTTCCTTCTGGGCGTTTTCAGCCGGCACTTGCAGAGAGACCCACCCGCCTCGAGGTCACGCTGACGGACGACGTGGGGAAGGGCCTGGGCCCAGAGGTGGTGGCGCTGGCGGTGGCAGCGCTGGGCCGACGCCTGGCGCTCTCCGCGGCCATGGCCTGCTGGCCACCCGAGATGAGTCAGAGAGAATGGGGCGCGGCGTGTGGGACGAGTGTGCGAGTCTGAAAGCGACGATGAATCGGGGAGTCTGAACGACATCGTTTTTTTTGTTTTTGTTTTTTGTGTGTGTGTGTGTTTTGGCGCTATGATTCGAATGGCGTTGTGTTCGGACATGGGGATGGTAAACCCCAGTAGGAGATCTGGACAAGGCGCTCGAGCTGGAGCAGTTGCCCTTGAGTGAACCATTCAATCGGGCGCCCCGTGATCCCCCAATAATAAGGGGTTTGACTTGTTCTCATTCTTACTGCAGGAAATGGTACCCAATCTCGTCTCCTGTAACTCCGGCCCTGTTTCTGCATTGGGTAATTGAGGTAATTTGCACGCCAGCTGCCTTCCTCATGTCAGTTTTTTTTGTGTGCAACTGGTTAACTGGGTGCTGTATCCTGAGGACTTGAAAAAGCTGAAGTCATTTTTTGCTTGCTCGCGAGGAAGCAAGCGATCAAGCACCGGTGCCTACCCTTTCAAGCATGCAAACTCAGCGACTACCCCTAAGCACCCCCTAATCGCCAATTGAAGCCAACCCATACCAACCCATACCATCACCCCAAACCCACCCTACCAAAACGAAGCGCAGAAGCCAACCCTCCCTCGTGCTACACCCCCTAAATCGACCCTAAGCCAACCTCAAGACCCTCCGAACCCCCAAGCCGACCCTAGCCCTCCGACCCTGCAACGCGGAACCTAGATCTGAAAACCACCCCTACACCTCCCGGGCAATCCTAAAACCGACCCCATACACTTGTTCGAATTCCAGCCCCAGGTTGATCCCACCGCAAGTTGTTGCCATCAGGGCAAAGGCAGGTGATTGTGCGGCATACTGGGTGCGGCGTTCAGAAGGCAAGCATCCCTAGAGTACCCTTCTCAAGGAATTTAACATTGACAGTCCATCACGGGATTTACTGGACTTGGCACGCTGACAAGTTCTGCACTAGCAATTGCTTGTAGAGGCAAGCAGCACATGCTAAGGCTCCTTTGCGCGATACTTCTCTACTTCTCCCGGTGGACCATCGTGAGACGTGCATGCAAAGAGTTCTCGAAAGTTGTGAAGTTGGGAATTCAAAGCTGGGAATCACAATTCATCATAGCACCGTTGTCGCCTCGGAATAATGTCTTAGCTCACCTTCCTGCGCACAGAATCTGACCTTCGGACGATGATCTTGCTACGGGAAGGTCCCTGGGGTTCAGGCGGTTCGCTTATGCCTGTCGTCAGCTGCCGAGTTCGCATGCGCCTCAGGAAGGATGTGCTCCGCGTTGAGCGGCTTGAGAAGCTTCCTGCGGCGGCCGTGTGAACGTCTCCAAGAGACGGCAGCCGAGAAGGCCGTTCTGAAGCGCTGAGCGAGTGCAACAGAGACGCCTGGCAGTGTCAGAAGAGTAGTTTGGCTTGCTCATTGACATCCGAACTGTCGGGTTGCACAACTCGGCAAGCTTCAAGCAGCCACTCCAACGGAGTGCTGTTTCTCACTATTTTTCTGTAGAGGCATCCGGGCAGGCGCATGGATGCTGCGAAATGCAAAAAAAGAAGAAGAAACAATCCGAAGCATGTGCTGGATGTTTCAGGGTTTTTGGGCCCACATGCGTCAGCACAACAATGGATTCATCCATCCCGTTGACAAGCATGAAGGACATTAGGACAAGAGGGAACAAGACAAGACGCGTAGGCGAGGCAATTCCCTGGCGACTGCCGGGATCTGAGAGAGAATTCTGCATTTGTGTTGGAGGCGTCGTGAAGCCCTGGAATGAGCAACAGTATTGTCCGTGAGCGTTGTGCTGGTCCCCAGATTATCATTTCATTTGTTGAGTCTGCTCGACAAGTAGCCGGCTAGAAAGCAATTCAGCTTTAAACAAGGGAACCGACATTGGTCCAGTGCTGCTTTCTAGCGCGCATGTTTCGATCTGCTTTGACGAATGCCGGTATCCCAGTCGATGGTGACAAAAGATGTCCAGGAGCATCTTCTTCAACGGCATGAGAGTCCGGGACAGGAGATATGAGAGGCCTGTCTTATGGCAGATGTGCCGGATATTCACCTCTTTTTGTCTTGTAGTCAGGCTTTTTCAGACGGCTCTGGAACTGCCCAGCATCATGGTCTTTGGGCGTCAGGACTTAGTCAAATGGTGTCCGTCCAGTTTTTGCCTGTGCCTCACGCAGATTCAACGCATCCAGGACGAGTTCTACAACTACGGCAAAGCCTCTCAAATGGCGTTGTACCAGGAGACTTTGGCTCGTAACTCACAGAGTAGCTAGTTCAAGTGCATTTAGGAGCCTCTTGTCCTTGAACATGACGAGGGACACAAGCTGCTTTGCTGCATTTGCTAAAGTGCAACTGGTGGCAGCGGATGTGTGCCCTGGGTGTCGCCTCAAGGTTTCCCTCAGCAGGGCCGAGGGCAAAGGAGATCTATGAGGAGGCGTGCGTTTTCTCACCTTACGTGGTCAGTGGCTTGCAGGCACTTGCATGAATTATGAATAGACTCCAGGTGTGGTAGGGTTTAGGAATCTAGGAGTTCAGGGTTTAAGGGCTTTAGAGCTTCAAGGGTTTGAGGCGTATATGTTTTGAAGGGCTGAGAGCTTGGCTTTTACAGTGGACGGTTGAGTGCAAGCAGCTAAAGCGTTGCAGCGCATTGAAAAGGCCGATCAAGCCCCGCCCAGCAAAAACGTGCTGATCTTTATGTGGAAGACCGCACTAGTGGGACAGTGTTGATCCGCAAGGTGGCGAAGCAGGTCTACTTCCACTGCGGAGTTGCACCGCGAAACAAAATATGAGAAAAGTTGCTCGCTCCATTGGGTGGTGATTGGCAGACACGGTGCTTGCCACGAGCTGCGGTTGTTCTTGACGTGAGACCGGAGCAATTTGAAGTTGTCACAGGGCGGAACTTAATCCCGTTAGAGACCAGCTCTGAACGCAGATGGTTGGCTCTCCCACGCCGTGTTCCTAACCACGGGCTTGTTGGTTTCAACCCACAGTCAAACCAATGTATTGCAGAATATACACTTGGAATACTCTTGGAAGGAAAAGCACTATATGAATAACACACTTGAATATCTTGCATACATTTGGATGCAAAGGCAGATTGTGGCCCAACACGGCAAGACGTGGCGAGACGCGCGTCCCGAGTCAATTATTTCCTTAATTTCACGCGAAGACAACATGTGGGGTGTGCTGTGTTGTCGTGGCAGCTCTGTCTTGTGCTGGCTGCATCATGGAGCGCACTCAACCCATTCAAGTGCTGGTTAGACCTTGTTGCTGCTGAGTCTTGCGTTCGAACATGTTATTGCCATTGATGCCTGGCGCAAAAATGGCACAAAAGCTTCGCTGGCTCAAGCTGACGTGTGGCCAGTTTTTGGCCACGGGCAACTCCGCAAAATCTGTCACAGCTTTGACCAGCAATTTACGCGAGCAAAGTCAGACAGTCAGGCAAAGATGGCTCAGGGCTGGCCACCCAGCCAGCTCAAGGAAGATGTGCCCCGGATCCATGTAAGCGCTGTTGTAGCAGTCTTCAATGGCCCTGGATCTGTTTCTCAACGAGAATCTGATGATCTGATGGTTGACTCTCTGTTGTTTGTGTGCATTGTTTTTTGGGAGCTGGTACCTTGGGATGTTGCTACAGAGGCACCAAGGAATCCACTCGTGCCATCCCGAGGTGTAACACAAGACACCCTTGAGTTCTGGGATACAGAGGCAAACGACAGGATCACGTGTCGGGCTGTGTGAAGCAACCATTGTTGTGGAAGTCCCTGAGGAATATGAGTTGTATGAATACGTGCTGAGAGCGAGCGCAGCTAGGTCTTTTTCTTTGGCGACTATGAGCTCTATGGTAGAAAGAGGGGCCTTGAGCCAATATGCATACATGATGCAAACTGATTGCCTACAGGTCAATGGTCTGCAAAACACAGAACAAAACAGACACAAATTTCTTTGGACATTTGGCATCGAATTATAGCCTCAAGGCTCTGTGCAGTAGCCATATTTAATATGCGTCGTAGCCGTTGAGAAATACCTGGATCGATTTTGAACACATCAATTAATCAAAAAAGGAGACGGGGACTCATGAAAGTCGTCGCAGCCGCCGCGCGCAGGGTCTCTATAGAAGGTCTCGCGCTCGCTCTTCAAACAGACCTGAAGCTCCTTTTGAAGATGCTCTGTCTGATCTTGGGATAAGATCTCTTCATACATCTCTTGGCAAGATTTGCAGGCAGAATCCACGAAGGACCCTGTATTTTTTGAAGTTCTCTGCCATTAAAACCAACCTACTTTTAACCGTTTTACAATTGGTCTGAAAGTTGCAAAGCGTCGACAGGCGCGTGAAACCTGAAAGCGCTCGCCACAGGGCCCGGCCTAGTGGAATTCAGACGTTGCCGAGGGGCGGTAGAAAATTATTGACCTCGCAGCACATGTCAGGAAACCGCTAATTTCAACAATGTCAGGGAACCTGTCCTACTTCAACACTTGTGGGGGGCTTGCGTGCAGTGCCCATTTGTGGTGCAAGTTGCCACGGCTCAGTATACTGGGTATGGTCGCTTCCACCAGATGGTCGGCAAGTTCATGCTATGAAGCGCTTGGGCTTAAGCTGCGCGCGCTTGTGAAGCCATGTTGCGTTGCTTTGGTTTCTTGGCGGCTTGCTGGCCACGATGCCAATCTGGTTTGCACGGGCCTTGGGTGGGTCAGCGCACAAAGCGTTGGATTGCGCCGCAGCCAAGGCGATTGAGGCACGGCGACCGGGTTCGATTGAAGCAGCTCCAGGCACGATATGGCAATCGAGGCGAGCGCAACTGTTGCGTGAGCCTGGCAGGCTCGGGCGCTCAATGGCCAGCGCGAACTGTTGAGCGCGTTGCTTTGCAGCTGTCGTGCATGTGGCGTTATCTGGGGTGTGGGTGCTTCCTGCTTGACACAGAGTGGCACGGGTGCGCAGCGGACGGAGGTGCAATTGGACGACGGGAGTGGGAAGCTGCTGCGGGCACAGAATCTCGAGCGCACCCCGAGCCCTGCCCTCATTTCTAAGCGACCTTGCGCGCAAGGGGCTGCCAACGCATGCTTCTGTCAGGCCTCGCTTGGCGGGTGTCACAGTTCGCAGCTCAGTGAAAAAGAGAAAACGCGCGCTTCGCGCCTTAAATCCGCTCAATCCTGAGCCAGGATCGCCTCAGCCAAGATGTTGCCGCAAGAGGTGAGTGAGCCCCCAGTGTCGAAGCGCGGGTCGGGGGGGGGGAAGATGGAATAAATAGTATCAATGAGACCGGGCAGTGTTCTGCAGTCTCCCTGTAGTCCTCGTAGCAAAGGGGATTGAACATAGAAGCAAGGGAAATTAATGGAAGTGAAAAGGACTTGAACAGGAAATAAAAAAGGACATGAAAGGGAAACAAAAGCCACAGAAAAGAACATACCGCGAAATGAAGAGGATTATTTCATTTGGTTCAGTTTCAACTCTGGCCAGAAGAAAACATGCAAAATGAAAAACATTCAGGGGTCCAGGCTGGCCCCCGAATCATCATCATCATCATCATCATCATCATCATCATCATCATCATCATCATCATCATCATCATCTTCCCGAAGTCTTAGGTTGCTCACTCCTTTCAAAAGGCAGGCAAATTTGAAGAAGCGAGCATGCTTGTCTTTCCCTTTTAGGCTGTTTCTAAATTCTAGTTGGATTCCTATTTGGAAAGAACATCCAGTTGAACATCTTATAATTAGTTCAACTCATGTTCACATTCTAGTTCAAGTCCTGCTTGAAAAGGAACTCCCGATAGAACTAAGAATTCCAGCTAAATCAGTTGCAGAGAAAACCGGCTTGCCTTTCCTCATTGGGGTTCTAGAAGTTCTAATGAGAGCCCTGCTTGGAGAGAACGTCCTATTCAACGTACTAATGTTAATTGAGCTCTAACTCAGATCCTACTCAACTCAAAGCCTTGCAGTTTAAAGCGTGAAAACCCATGGAACTGAAGCTGCATTTTGCTTGCGCACAAGCCCTCAATCAAGCGCAGCGCCTACTTACAAATAGCGCTGCTTGAGCAGGCACTTTCTCAAACTTTCCGAATAACAGCATGCCGAGACTGAGCTTCTGGAAGAACAAAATGTTGAGAGCCCCTGGCGTTCCAAAATGCTGAGAAGTCCCTATAATTCGGCCGAAGCTGAACTTTAGAGACCTTGCGTAGAGCTCCTGTGTTTGCGCAAAATGCAGACAGGTCCTTAAATCAAGTTTCCCTTGACAACATACTACTTGAACCTCCTGGTACTAGAGCGTAAGTTTTTCAAGTTGTTTAGGGACCAAAGCTGAGTTTAAAGACTTCTCATGGTCTTGCCTGGAGACCTGACACAGATATTTGCGGTCGCAGTGTCTGTGGCATCAGTTCTGTAAAAAACACAAGCAAATTTTCTAGAAGTCTTGAAGGACTGCGCGCGAGGCTGAAAACAATGTTTTTACATCTTTTAAGGGCAGTGCAGCAATTGCTTCAGGTTTTAGGACCTCTCAGCATTTTGTCTTCCCAGCTCAGAACATGGAGGGTCCCCAATCTATCATACCTGGATCCTCCAAGGTGTGCTTTTTTTGTGCTCTTTCAAGAAAAAGTGCTTTTTGGCTGAAAAAGCGCTTTTGCTTGATGCGGGCTTTTTCCAGTGATGCGTGTTTGTCTTGCTTGGGCTTGTGCTGAAAAAGCGCTTTTCCTAGTTGAATAATCACGACCCTTGACCCCCAAACAGGTACCCCAGAAGGGTGTGCATGCATGTGATGTTAGAGGCCCCATTGACTGCATGTGTTTCAAGTGACATGTCGAATGGCAATGACCATTTGGCTCAAGATGCCCAGATCAAAACCAGGGTTTGCGCTCGCCTACCGGACTGGGGTTAATAAGGGTCCCGGTTTCTGGTTCGCTGTGTTTCTTTCCCTGTTGAGTGGTTATCAGCCGTAGTTGCTTTTTGGGATTAGGCCCCCTCAGTCCGGTAGTCAGCGCACTTCGTGCATGGACCCGGCACCGGCCTTCTCGGCCCGTGGTCAGAGGGGCGGGTGGACTCATCGTCGGAAGCTCTACTACGAGGCCTTCGACGAGCTCACCCGGTGGGCCTGGCGGGAGTTCAAGGTTGTGGTGGCAAGGGTCCCCTGGGAGGAGGCATCGGAGTTGCACCGAAGCTCCCTCCTGGCGTGGCAAGCAGATTTTGCCGATCAGAGCTATCGGCATCTGCGAGACATCTACCCGACCTCTACGACGCCGTCATCGCCCGTGGTCGACATCAACCCATCCCACTCCTGCAACGGGCGCAGGCCGCAGCTCAAGGCGCGGCAGGGCAGGCTCCAGCTCCAACACCAGCTCAGCCTCAGCAACAGCCAAGCACCCCATCAAGTCCATCCTCCACCACAACTGTGTCCACAATCAAGGCTGCAGCTCCAAGCGCAGCTCCGACACAGGCAGCAACAGGGCCGGGAGATCAGGCTGCAGCTCCAAGCGCAGCGGTTCCAACAAGAACCAGCACTGAGAGCCGAGGTCCTCATCAAGGAGGAAGAGGACACCGCCGGCAAGGCGACAGCCTTCCCCTGCACCGGCGCGGAAGGCGTCAACCCGACGCCCAAGATCCAGAACTGCAGCTCCAAGCGCAGCGAGGTCGAGGACCAGGAGCCGCAGCTCCCCAACACCTCCGGCCCGTGCATCCCTGAGCAGCCGGCCGCTGATCTTGGCGCCGGCCAACTGCGCCTACCCGACAACTCGGGTGGACAGCACGGGAATCTGGATCCTCCAGCACCGGTACGAAGGAGGCTCGCGACCCACGCGTACGACCTCCCAGACTTGTATTGGCATCCTCCGCCGAGGGCAGGGTCCTCATCCAACCCTCCCAGAGGACACGGGAGGGCCGAACATTTTGACCTGAGTACTTCACCGCCTCCCGAAAGGTCTGCGCGTGAGGTTTACTCAGGCTCGGCGGCCTTCAACCCGGACAGGGTGTACGAGGCTGAGCAGGTCAGCATCAAGAGGCCTGCACCTGCCGGGCGCGACTCATCCACAGCACCCGCAACAAAGACCGCTCGGATAGTTTTTACCAAGCGGGAAGCCAAGGTCAAGGCGCCCCCACAAAGCGTAATTGACCAGGCAGCTGCGGATCGCGCTGCGTCAACGGCCATACCCCCACCGCCGCTAAGAGCACCACCTGCACCCCCAGCACCAGTGCCTAGGGCTGCAGCTCAACGCGCAGTGTCGGCTCCAAAATCGACCAGCGGGGTAAAACGGCCTGCGACGCCGCCCAAAGCCTACAAGCGGGCGCCCCCTCACCACCACCGCAGGTGAGGTTCAAGGCTGCCCCGGCACCCAAATTGCCGGTCAAGCAGCCCCCAAGTGCAGCAGCACCCTCCGGTGACGGAGCGCCCCATTTTGGCACAGCTCAACCTGACGCCCGGGAGCCGATCATCGCCTGCCTTGATTGGCATAACACGCTCGATATCGCCATCGAGCCCAACGGTGCGCCACAGGATTGGATATTGCGGGTACTATCAAAGCTGTACCGAAACCATTTTCCTATTCAATTTCGCATCGTGAGTTACTGTCAAGCCCGTGAAACACGGGAGAGCACCCTTCGGCTTGCCACCCAGTTCACCCGCGTTTGCAACGACTCCATAGACGGTTTGGGCACCCCCCCGTTTGGAGACGTTGTCCTCACCTGGAAGCAGGTTGGTCCATCCGGCAAGGCTGCAGCTTTAGCGCAGCTGGGGGCGAGCGTCATCATTGACGACAACAACGCCACCCTGAAGGAGTGCCGCGTCGCAGGCGCGTTCGGCATCTGTGTCGAGCGGCGAGACGCCAATCGGGCGCTTTACGAGGCGTTGGACGAGCTCTACGACTATCTCAACCAACACCGACGCCTCCTTCGTCCTGCCAGGGTACTCGACCAAACAGAGTACCTCGAAGAGGTTGGCGACCGCCCCCACTCTGCAAGGGGCGGCCGCGGACTTTTTCGCTGACCTGGCACTGCCGGAGGCTGCAGCTCAAGCGCAGCAAAGGCAACGGTTTCCAACACCGGTCAAGCGCACTGGTTTCCAATACCGGTTGTATTTTAAGTTTCAAGGGCCGCAGCTTGAAGCGCGGTGTGTCAGCATACGTGAGCCTGGCCTCGTGTGAAAGGCGCATCCGACATGGCATCAGGGATTTCCCCACCTTCGGATGATAGGTCAAGGTCAACCTTTCTGGGGGAGAATCTAATGAGGAAGACCTTGAACTCGGTGATATGTCGGTACCCGCAATGTCCGTAGTTTCCGTGGGCTCCAGGGCATCCTCATCAAGAGATGTTCGTAGCCGCGATCGAAACGCGACTCCTCCCCGTAGGACTCCCATTGTAGAGGAACCTGATTCAGTCTCCACTGCAACCCCCCTTGTATATAGCCCTCAAGTGCCTACACCCGACCCATCTAGGGACATGAGTGCCGCTGCATTCGTGGCCGGATCGGCGTTGCAACGCGCGCATCAAGCTTCGCTCATTGCTGATCAGGCTGCCAATGTTGCCCTTCACGAGCATCGAGCAGCGGACGAGGCACGCCAAAGGCTAGGGGAGGTTGCCGCTGTTGCGCAACAAAGGGAGCAGACCTTTAGACAACAGGCAACGGAACTGACATACCAAGCCCAGCAAGCAGTCGAACGAGCCCGTGCTCAGACAGCGCTAGCTGAACAAGCTGCACAGCATTCTCAACAGGAAGCCCCAAGGCCATGTTCAACAGGTGAGGCAGGAAGCTGAAGGCCATGTCCATCTGTTAAGACAGGAAGCCGTAGGCATGTTGAACGTGCTAGGCATGAAGCCCAACAAGCAAGGTCGGCCGCAGAAGCCGAAGTGTCCAGGTTGAGACAGGAGGCTATTCAAGAAATTTCCTCACGGGAACAGAAGATCCTCCAGCAAAGCAAAGTGATAGATACATTAGGGACTGAAAACCTTTTGTTGTCGCAACGCCTTGCTGACCTAGAAAGGGCTGTCGCAGCCATGGCGCAAAATGTTCCGGTACCTCCGGATGAAAGTCATGAAAGTCAAAATCCTACGGATCCCGGGTCATCGGGGCTAAATGACGTTGGACGTGACCTTCAGGTTGGATCACAGGCTCCCCAAGTTCAAGGGCCGAGTGATGCCACACGTGAGCAGTGTCCCCCGAAGGTGCAGCTCTAGGCGCATCGGGAAGTTCAAGTAGCAACCCTAAGGTAGCGCCATGTGCCCCTGTTTCCCAAAATCCTTCGCTCCCCCACAGCCCAACATCAAGTCAGATGCCAAGCGTGTGCAAATCCAGGATGGTGATCCACGTGCGCAACGTCGCTCGGACTCAGGATGTAAGGGGACCTGTAGACGCACAGCTGGTCCATCAACTTTCAAAGTTAGTTGAGGCCCAGGTAGGGGTATCAGGGGCCCGATCGCATCGGCTCAGGCACCCCCACCTTCCGTAGCTGCCCAGCACGCAACTGCTGTTCCCACGCTTAGGCTAACAAGTGCAAGTACAAGTCAAGTGGCTCAATTCCCATCCTCCCCACTCGCACCATCGGAGGCAAGCTCCGACACATCCTCAGAATCCGGTGACGAGGGTCATACCCCTTCATGCCGAGTCTGTGGTGGCCCGCATGATGATACCGCCTGCCCCTCCCTTTCCATGAATGGGGGGCAGGGACAAGGTACTCAAGCAGCAGATGCAAGTGGTGGGATGCTGCTACAAGCGCATCAGATCCGGCCTCGTATGAGGAAACCGTGGTTCGCATAAAGGACCTTAAGGATTTAGTGCTTCCTCTTCCGCCAGAGAACGCCGGACAGGCGCGTGGATACGTGAATCAAGTCCTCATGGCCATTGGACGTTTGCAAAAGACGACCGGTGACGAGCTCTATCTCTGGGCTCAGGATTGCCTGACCTCATCCGAGGAACAACTCAGGGCAGATAAACGTTTCCCACGCACAACCCGTGAGATAGCCGCCAAGCTGTTGAAAACGTGTCGCAAAGGCAAGTTTGGGTTGTTGTTCCAAAACATGGTGGAGCACGAACGGAACACCGCAGGTACAATGCCCAATGGGCGCGTGATGTTGCGTTCGATCTTCAAGTACTTTCAACTGGAGCGTGATCGGATCGGCGTCCTTGGAGAACGCAATCTTCTAGGTTTGAAACTTGCTGGCCAATCAGTAGCAGACATAGAGGCTTTCCGTGAGAAGTACAACTATATTCTCCGTGCGATACCTCTTGATGAGCTCCCCAAGGAAAGAACTCTTTTCAATCATCTCATGGATGAGTTTGAGAAGTGTCCAATAATGAAGCATCGCGTTGAGAAGGCCCGTGAGTCCGCCCATGATAGTCACCGCCGCACCTGTGCTTGGCTTTGGGCGAAGGCAGACCTGGACATTGAGCTTGCCCAGCAAAAGCGCAACCGTGATGAGTTTGATCAGGATGTTAAGCTCAAACCGGCTGTTCGTGGCACGGGCAAGGAAGCAGCTACCAGCGCTTTGCCAGCAGAGACTAAGAAGGAGAAGAAGAAGAACAAGAAAGGTGATAAGAAAGGGGATCAAGGGCAGGATAAAGGCGGCACCCCAGCCGCTCCTGCGCCTAAAGGTAAAAGTCCTTCGAACCCTAAGCCTCCTCCTCCGAAGTCCCAAAGTGCAAACAAGGGAGACACTACCCCTTCTAATCTCACGCCGAGGTCGAAGGCTGTGTCCAAGACAGCAAAGATGTCAGCCGTTGAAAAGGCAAAAGTTCCGTGTGTGTTTTATGCCTATGACGCGTGTAGGGCTAAGTCCTGCGCCTTCCTCCACTCACCGACTGAGAAGTACACTGGGCCACCTCCACGGGCCCTCAGCAAGGCGAAATCTCCGGCCGCTGTTGCCGCCGTAGTCCCAGCAGTCCCAAGCGTCCCCGCCAGGAACAAGAGTATCAGTTGGCTTTGGGACACCGCTGCGGGTCGCCACCTCATCGGTAAGCAGGCTTTGAACAGCACCATGATGCATTGCGTACGCAAGACCAACACACCGGTAGGCTTTGCCACAGGCGGGGGAGCGCAACAAGGAAATAAATCTCTTGCGTTTGAGGACTCCCGTGTGATCCCACCTGATGAGCAGGTTTATGTTTTGAACGAATGTCCACCCGCTCAATCAATTGGCAAGACCGTCATCGATCGAGGTTACCTCTTCATCTGGGACCCCAGAGAGAACGTTCCTTATCTTGTGCCTCCTTCTGAGATTGGGTAAGTGCAAGCTTCGGGTTCCTCGCCGTTCTAGGATCAACGCCTCCAGGGTTGCTGAGTACGTATCACAGTACGATGAGGTAGTCAAACCGCAGATCGTTGATCAGGCCGCGAATCTTCGGCCAATCAATGTCGTTGGTTCTCCTGTCAAAGTCGAGGATGATGCAGTTTCCTTGTCCGATGATGAGTCCTTCATCATTGATCCATGCCAGGATTTTCCATCACCTCCCCAAGTGCCAGAAGAAGAAAAGGAGCAGCTCAATGCGCTCATTGATGATGTGGTCCAAGAGATTAAGGTTGCAAGCTTTATGCGCAACGAAAAGCCAGCCATGCCAGCTCCCGAGGAAAGGCCTCCGGCCGAGCCCCCGGATCCGCCGCCAGCACCACCACCTGTTGGAGCACCTCCTGCGCCCGCACCAGCAGCCCGAACATCCTGATGACGAGCGCAGGCTTGTCGATTTTGCAGAAGGTGGTGAGCTTCGTGATGAACCCCGGCTTCGGGCCGAAGCCAGTTCACCGGAACACCAACGGACTCACTTCCCCAAGAATCCCTTCTGCAAGATTTGCAACATCGCTAAGAATACCTCAATGCGTGTCGCCCGGAAACCAGGGGGGCGGAGTGACGATCTTCTCGACGCACCCACCGCTCCCTACCAGCAGCTCGCTACTGATAGCGTGATCTTGGCGAAAGGCGATGAACATGTTGGCATCGGCATAGGCGGAATAAAATCCCACCATGTCATCAGGGATGTGTTTTCCGGCGCAAGGGGGCGCATCGTGTTCAGGGGAGACTGTGCAAAAGATGAAGCCGGTGCACCCGCGGTGTACCAAGAACTGGGGGCAAACCCCACCTCGGCACAGGGTCTAAACGCCTGCCTGGCGTATGGGTGTATCCCAGGACACACGGTCACCACCTATGTCCAGGCGTTCCTTAGCTCACAGTTTCAGACGTGGATCGAGCTCCCGCCTGAGCTGCGGTCAAAGGAATGGGGTTACAAGTTCGTGAAACCCGTGGTCTTGTTGATTCGTGCCCTATATGGTCACCCTGACGCAGGAGGTCTGTGGGAGGCACACCTTAAGACTGCTCAGGCAGCTGGGAGGAGAAGAAATCCCCGGGAAACTTTTTCTTTAAAGGGGTAGGCCTTATGCTCTCGACTTACGTCGATGACTTAACCCTCTCGGGTCCCGCAGATGCACATGAAGCCTTTTGGGCTAAGCTTACAAAAATGATAAATGTAGAGCCTCCCGAGCCGATCTTTCGGGTGCTCGGGCGTAATCATGTCTTTATAGATGTCCCCGCAGAGCCTCAAGAGCATGATCTGAATGCAGCTGTAAGCGCATTGAAGGGTGCCGTTGCCTTTGACATGAATGACTATGCCCGTCAAACCGTAGAACTGTTTTGTTCTATAACCGGCACTCAGCCCGAGAAGCTCCTGAAGGTAACTACTCCGTTCTGTCCAGACGGATCACTTCCCCCTGAAGATGATCAGTCAGCTGGTAAGCTAGCCCCAAACGCGTGCAAACTCCTCATGAAGGCCTTATGGCTGGGACGACTAGCACGTCCTGACATCATCAAGCCCATAGGTGACTTAGCAACCGCCGTGCAGAAGTGGTCTCGCAACCACGATAGGCAACTCGCCCGTCTTATCGCGTACATCCACTCGACGACGCACTATCGGTTGGTAGGGGTCATAAAGGACAACCCACAAGATCTTCACCTCGCTCTGTATGCGGATGCCGACTATGCTGGAGAAAGGGATGCGAAGTCCACATCCGGTGGCTTCTTGGTCCTCAAAGGACCAAACACCCATTTTCCCTTAGCGTGGCTCAGCAAACGACAGACATCAGTGTCGAGGTCCACCACCGAAGTTGAGGTCGTTTCGCTCACATTTTCCTTGTATCAAGAGGGCCTTCCCTCCTTGACCTTGTGGGAACGTTTGCTTGGACGCCCGGTTGAGCTGGTGCTGCACGAAGATAACCAAGCCACTATCCTTGTTGCCAAGAAAGGTTACTCCCCAAAAATGCGGCACACGCAGCGCACTCATAAAGTCAACTTGTCCGCACTTGCTGAGCAACTCGAACGTAGTGATCAAGTACGTAGCAACCGATCTCCAGGCAGCAGACATCTTCACAAAAGCACTGCAACCCTTGAAGTGGGACCACGCTCTCAAACTTTTGGGCATCAGAACCAATTTGCCCGAAAAGTTAAAAGATGTCCGGCCTGATGACCAAGCAACAACAAAAGTGCAGAAGTCAAAGGTAAGCCCTCTTTATGGTCTGGTAAAGGACCTTGCGTCACATGGGTCGCAGCTCAAGCGCGACTGTAAAGTACAAGTCCTTTAGTGAGCACGGGGAGGGGGGAGTTGAATAATCACGACCCCTTGACCCCCAAAGAGGTAGAAGGGTGTGCATGCATGTGATGTTAGAGGCCCCATTGACTGCATGTGTTTCAAGTGACATGTCGAATGGCACTGACCATTTGGCTCAAGATGCCCAGATCAAAACCAGGGTTTGCGCTCGCCTACCGGACTGGGGTTAATAAGGGTCCCGGTTTCTGGTTCGCTGTGTTTCTTTCCCTGTTGAGTTTCCTCGGTCAAAAACCTCTTTTACCGGGCCAAAACACGCTTTTTCTGACACGCTTCGCGGCAGTCTTGAAAAAGAGCAGTTGTTGCGTCAAAACGCGCTTTTTGAACGCAACAGCGGAAATTATAGCTTTTTCGCCACACCCGGAGTGCCCATGTATTCTTGGAGGCTGAATTTTAGGCACCTGTCAGTGGATTAGGTGCCCTCAGTACGGGACTGAGTGAGGTGTGATGTTGCAGCTGGCGTCCCAGATCTCAGCACCGTCAGAGGCCTGCGCGTGGCAGCTTTGAGCCGGCAAAGTGATCCGTGTTTTGGCTTGCAAGTCATCGTTGTTTGCGCTTTGTTACATGTTGTAGGCGTGATGCCTGCAGCGGGCCATGTGGTTCTCCTCGGCGCAAGCCCCAGACCCGCTTTGCTCGCCCGTGTGGATGGGGGCTGGCAGTGGGCTTGCGACCTTTGCGCAGGCAACAGCAAAGGAAGAGAGGGCGCAGCTGGCTTGCAGGAGCTCTTCCCCCGAATAAGTGCAGATCTTCACGCGCCGTTGATTCCTTTTTGCATGGCCTGCCAGCAGCAGGTTGACTGTGAGAAGCAGACCTTCGTGCTTTGCGACATTTGCTACGAGATGAGGTGTGAGAAGGTGGAGAACCTCCACATGACAGAGGCGTCTGGGGTTCAGCTTTGGGCGACCGGAGCGGGTGGCTTTGCAGTGTGCGGCGTTGTGTTATAATGGTCACTACATGATCCATTCATTGTGTGACATGTGCTCAACAAGTAGCCAGGTTTAACAGCAAATCAGCTTTAGACAGGGGAAGTTCCACCGGATGTTTTCAATGGAGGCGGACGAGGGGATCGACGTAAGTCCAGCGCTGTTGCGATCTGCTTTGCAGAGTGCCGGCGCCCCAGTCGATTGTGATGAAAGAAGGACGGGCAAGAGATATGAGAGCTTGTCTTATGGCAGATGTGCCGGATATTCACCTCTTTTTGTCTTGTAGTCAGGCTTTTTCAGACGGCTCTGGAACTGCCCAGCATCATGGTCTTTGGGCGTCAGGACTTAGTCAAATGGTGTCCGTCCAGTTTTTGCCTGTGCCTCACGCAGATTCAACGCATCCACAACTACGGCAAAGCCTCTCAAATGGCGTTGTACCAGGAGACTTTGGCTCATAACTCACAGAGTAGCTAGTTCAAGTGCATTTAGGAGCCTCTTGTCCTTGAACATGACGAGGGACACAAGCTGCTTTGCTGCATTTGCTAAAGTGCAACTGGTGGCAGCGGATGTGTGCCCTGGGTGTCGCCTCAAGGTTTCCCTCAGCAGGGCCGAGGGCAAAGGAGATCTATGAGGAGGCGTGCGTTTTCTCACCTTACGTGGTCAGTGGCTTGCAGGCACTTGCATGAATTATGAATAGACTCCAGGTGTGGTAGGGTTTAGGAATCTAGGAGTTCAGGGTTTAAGGGCTTTAGAGCTTCAAGGGTTTGAGGCGTATATGTTTTGAAGGGCTGAGAGCTTGGCTTTTACAGTGGACGGTTGAGTGCAAGCAGCCAAAGCGTTGCAGCGCATTGAAAAGGCCGATCAAGCCCCGCCCAGCAAACACGTGCTGATCTTGTTGTGGATCCGTGCAGATTCAGCTTTGCGTATTCTGCTTGACAAAGTTTCAAAGGGGCACTAGCAGAACTCTGTTGATCCGCAAGGTGGTGAAGCAGGTCCACTTCCACTGCGGAGTGGCGCCGCGAAACAATGAGAAAAGTCGCGCCGTTGAGTGATGGTTAAGACGGGAGCCCCTTGTGAATTTGCTGCTAAAGATAACGACAGGTCGGAATTCATTCTCGTGTGAGACCCGCTCTTGAACCACGAATTGGTGAGCTCAACCGCACCTCAGTGTTCCTAACCACGCGCTTGTACGCACACCCCCACACACGCACGCAGTCAAATGTCTCCCAGGCAGCCCCCAATGAGGGACTCCTTATGATTCTATTTGCAATGTGGTCGTTGCACCATTTTTGACATTGGACATACCCCCCGAGGCCATCATTTTCGGAGGCTGATTAAAGTTTCGATTGCCAGCGTTATGTGCGACTAAGACACTCAGTCTGAGCTGCTTGCCACGTGTCAACTGGGACTGCAAATGCTGACCTTTCAAGGCTTATGAATGCTTATCAAAGGAACGCTGCAAAGCCAGGAGACTGTGACTCAATTGAACTGCTTTGTACTGCACACTGTTGAGCTGGCGTCCGACGTGTTCATGTTTCGAGGGTTTCAGCTTAAGCTGCGCAGAGCTTGGTAAACTGAAATTAGCGATTGGAGAACCAGCATGTGCTTTCGAGTCTGCAACACATGCCGCACACAAGCTCTGGAGGCACTGGCTCCTACGGGAAGCATGACCATGTCCCCCATAAGAAGCTCTGACCACTGCTCACGTGTTAAGGTGCCAGCGCTTGACCAAAGCACAACCAAAACACATCACCTGCTTTCAACAACACAGAGCACAACTCGCCTTGCCTGCGCCAGCTCGTTGGCTGAGTGCCCCGAGAACCAATAATCATCACAGATTCATACGTCAATTGCCAAGGCCCGAAAGATGAAAACTGAACAGCGAAACATGAGAATACTCTACGATCAGAAAGTCGAAAGGTTGAAAGGTCATCAGATTGTTCAAGAATCAAGACATAGAAAGCTTCGCAGCGTCGAACCTAATCTACGCGTAGCAGGAAAAGTCAAAAAGTCAAACGGCATGCATTTCCACGCCTTTCTCCTGGCCCACCTTTTCCCGGGTTCCCAATGTTGCCACGTTTTTTTGCTTGTCCATGTTCATCGCTTTGGGATTTTCTCAAAGCCTCTTCAAGGCATAGAACTGCAACTGAACCCTCGCCGCACAGCTTTTGGACACATGTTGGTTCTGGGATGTTCCTTGAACGGGGGCTTTCGCATGCGCGCCGTTGTCACTGCGTCACTTGATCCCCTGCGTTCCATTTCAACAAGTAGCCAAGTTTGACAGCCGGATGCTCTGTTCAAGGCACGTGCTGCTTTCTGGCGAGCGTGCCTGCGATTTTTGCTGGATTCCAGTGTCCCAGTCGATTAACTCTGACGAAAGCGCAACCATATTCCATGGCATGAGAGTCCAGGACAGGATATGACAGGCCGCACTTCTGGCAGATGCATCGCTCACGCCATTGATACGCTGTTTCAAGACATTTGGTCAAACAGTGGCCATGTTTTCTTGTGATACGCTGAACAATTCACAAACTGCTGCTGCCCGCTTATTCCCATTTCTGCAATTTGCTTAAACATCAAGAAGCTACAAAAAGGATCGACTGGGAGCTGTCACCAGGCTCTGTCAAGCATGGCGTGGCGCCTACTGGAAGGCCAGAGCCCGGCTCTATCCACATTTCTCATTGGTCATTGACGCCACAAAGGACGTGCGCATTCACACACACACACACACACACTTAGACTCCCAAAGGAGTGGTCTGAAATTCGAGTGGCTATGATTCGAGCGGGTGGTTCGAGTGGGTGGTTCGAAATTGCAAATGGCGGCGTCAGCTGATTGTGTTCAATCCCGAGTGCAACTATATTGCCCTATCAATGGGCACGCGTAATATCCTGAAGACGAGGCGTCCAGAGATCTGTCACAGTAGCAAACGCTTCATGCCGATGGTTTCTTCTGCATGTTTGACGGCGTTGTGTTTTGCAAATTGAGCCTTTCATGCAGCTGACAGAGCGCACGTATCACATCGGAGTTCTTGGCGCAAGATGAAGCCTGCATAGATGTCAGCTTGGTTCTATTGATGAACGAATCCCAGGGCTATTTTCTCAGACATTTAGGTTCTCCAGCCTGCCATGCCTGCGAGGTCAAAGCAGGAGGGTGACCCTGTTCTCTTGATATCAGCTGTGTCATTTTTCTGAAGCTGCTGGTGTAGCCACTAACGATGACAGCGGCCATCTCGGCAGTCGTCGCTTTCCCTTGAATTGACTTGGAGTGACGCCTCCCAATGATGCACCAATGTCCTTCAGGAGTGGTTGTAATTGACTACCTGCTTGAGGTCTTCCAAGAAATCGTCATTTCGGTTGTTTGCGCTTGGTTTTCATTGCCGCCCCGATTGAGTCTCCCGATGTTTGAAACACAGCAAGAACGTGCAGGGTCTGTGTGCAAGGGTGCAAGCGAAGACGACTTCAGTAGCTTGGGTGCCCTGCCACTCACAAGGCCTGACTGCATGGCACGGCCTTCAGAACGAGTTCAGCTGAAGGTGGGACCTTCGGCATGATTTGCTATTTGTTGTGTGTGTGTGTGTGTTTTTTAGAAAGGAGCTGATTGTTTCAGACATGCCTTCGACCGGAAGAGATGATGAAGAACAGGCGAAGACCAGAGCATTTACTTGCAGAGGATGGCCCCTGCGCAATGTGGACAAGTCTCAGTTTTTCTCCTAGTCGCCAAAGGAAGCTTGGCACTGAGGTGTCCTGATCGAATCCATGGCCTCCGAGGCGAGAAGATCCTGAACTCAGTCATGTCCTTCGACGAATTCCCACTGGCCTTTCGGTCAATCATCATTCGGGTCAGCCGTCATTGATGTTGGCCAACACATGTCCCTCTTTTCACAGCCAGGCCACGCCACAACTAGTGGCATCGCATTGTGACGCCTCACCACGACGAGGGGCCCGGAAGCGACTGTATGACCTGCTCTTAGTCGGCCAAACAATGGAGGACCTTCGATCTTCCAACTTCCCAAGACACTGGTGCAATCTCGTTCATGTTCCGACGCGCTCGGGCCGCTCCAACCAAGTTGGGCCAAGCCGTTTGGGGCCTGGTTGTTACTGAGTTTGCCTGATGAGCTTGTACGCCGGCGCTGTTCCACCCTTGTGACTTGTGCTGCCGAGACTGCCTGGCTCAAGTCACAAGCCTGTTTCCTCGGTCATCAACATGCGGGAAAAGATATCAGTCAAGAACACCTTCATTCAGATTAAGTACGAGGAGGCTGGTGCCAGGGCTGGTGCAAAGGCTGACACTTGTTTCCTTGAGCAGGCAGAGCAGCCGCGAGCAAAGAAAAGGAGCGACAGCGCTGACGGTCGGCTGGAGTTGAACGAGGCACCGGGTGAACTTGGCCGTTTAGCATGGCTCGTGCTGAGCTTCACAAAGATACACGGGAGGACATCGAGAAAAGTGGACCTGCCAGCGATCAGGCCGGCAAAGAAAAGGGGGTCCTATGACGTACTCATGGATAGAAAGGCAAGTTGCCCCCTTCCAGTACATCCTATGGCTTGGAACATTGTTTGCCCGAAGCCCAAGGGATGGGTGACTACCTAGTGCCCACATTGTACAGTGAAAAAGAGCATGAGATGGGACCGAGTTGCTGAGTCCCTGCAAGTGCAGATGTTTGGCTGGCACTTACTTGGGAGGCGCAGCAAGCTGACACGGTGTGCGATACCGAAGTCGGAGCGGGGACGACAAGAAGCGTTACAGAAGGCGCAAGAAGATCAAGGGACGCACGTATTCCATTGCGACAACTACAAATGTGTGTGTGTGTGCGGAGTGGCAGAATACCCTGCCACCACTTTTGGTTATGATTACTACCGCAAAGGGTGGCAGCAGGGCCGAGAGTCTGCCACCAACGAAGACACTCTCGTGACCCTGGTGAAGCAGTTGGAGACGTCCAGCTGTGTATCTGCCGATGATACAAAGTCCCTTTGGCCCCCTTGGTTGCGGCGCTGTTTGTGCTTCTTGTTCTTTCTGGTAACGTGTTCGCTCTTAGAGGGAAGCCAAGTGCCAGCCGAAGCTATTACTCGAAGACCCACACAGCACTTTGATGAGTACCCTCCTTCGGGAGTTCAAGTGTGATCACCCCATCTTGGGGGAACCTCGGTGTACCCATCGTGTGACCCCGGGCCGGTTCGCCGGAAAATTTGACCTCAACTTTCTTATCATAGCCCAGCGGAATTTCACGTTTAAGCAGGAACGAGGTTTCACTAAAGGGAAGACAGCCACCTCTTCATAGTTACGTCTCACCTTTTCTCGCCTTCGTCTTCCGCGTGTCCGTCTTCTGGTTCTTCGCCCGTCTAGGGATGGCTTCTCCTTCCTCCCGTTCTCTTCTTGCTGCCTTTCGTGACCCGCGCGTTCGTCCCAAGCACGCAGGTGTAATGATCGTGATGATGACCCACGCCAAGCAGATTCTCAAGATTGGCTTCACTCCTCGATGTGGCAGGGTTCCAACGGCGCCGCTTCGGTGCCACAACCACCTTCACTGCCCCGCATCGCAGCACCGTTCCCTCCCACTCCTTGCCTTACACCCTACCATCCCACGCCTGGACTTCCTTCCTGTGTCGCTTGACCCGTGTCATCGTGCTCCTCATAGGCTTCCTGCCCACCAACCTATGCCAACACAGACTACATTCGCGAATCCTTCCCCGCTCAGTTCTTCAGCTACGCAGAGCACTCGACGCGTGACTTCAGGTAACCACTTTGGCTCACGCCTCCTACGGAGTGGACTTCTGGAGACGGTCTTCTGGATCGCAATCAGCTCTACTCCTTCACTCTACCAGTTTCAGTCGCCAATACTCCTCACACTCGTGAACGTGGAATGTACGTTTAGTTCAAGCAATACATGGTGGTCTTTCCAACTGGTTGCTACGCCCTTTTGCTCACGGCCGCTTCGTCACTTGCGCAGATCTCGCACCCAGGACTGAAGCCCTCTTATGGAGCACCTGCTCCAAAACCCTCCCCCGAGAAGGACACTGCCAGCTCGCTGGGAACGACTACCTAACGCTGATGCTGTCGCGAATTGTCATGCGCTCCAATGCCAAAACGAGCTTCTCAAAGCTGAACTGGCCGCGACACGCAAAGCCCACGATGCTTCCGCTACTACCACGCCACCCACCGTGTCCGCGGTGAACACGCCTTCCCCGTCCAGGCCTTCAGAGTCAGGTGCAATTCTACCCATGGCCAGTGCTGCTGTTGATGGGAAGTCTTTTGACAAGAACTTCGTGAAGAGCCCCATTCTCAATTCACTACATGGTCGCTCCCCTCGTCAGCCTCATGACAAGAAGCAGGATGATCCGATGCTTGCAGCCGCTGATTCCGCGCATCATGCCCTACCTCCGCCTTCGGATCAAAGCTCGCCTCAGGAGATCCTGGAATACTACAAAAAGCCCGATGCCACGCCTGTTTGTCAAGCACGCTCCCGCTACGTCTATACGCCAACTTCTTTGCTTAAGTGGGCTAAACATCCCACGCATCTCAACGCCAGTCGTGACCTTGAACCTCGTGCTGCTCTGCTTCAAAAAGCACGCCAACGGGTCCCCAATCAATGGAGACGCGGCATCGTTCCCATGGCGGCCATGTGGGGGTTGGAACCTGGCTACATCACCAAGCTTGCCGACAAAGCGCTGTGTATTCTAATTGTCACAGCCCGCACTCTTGCCTGATTGAAAGCCCGGAGTGGTTTGGCCATCACAGCTGCACAGGCAAAAGATTGCTTGCTTTGCTGCAGTGCGTTGTTGCCGGTTGTGCCCGATCATGCTCATAGCTTGCATGTTGCATTGCGCTGATATCATTGACATGGGAGTGTGATGTGTTGTGTCACACTCGCAGCTTTCATCATGTGGTCGGAATTTAGATCGGGTGGGATTCTCAATGATCTGGTTCGCTGGCAGTCACTTTTTCCACTCTCCTCAGCTCGCTGGCGTTCATATCTGCTGGCTGGAATTTTGTCTTTCCTGAACTACCTAGACGTGCGGTACCTGCTCATGAAGTCGTATCGATCTTGAAGTTGGCTCATGTTGATATAATCATTGAAGCCCTCACACTGGTTAGGGTCTCATTGCAGATCCCTGCGAACGCGTTTGTGCGCACACTTCTAACCCAACGGCCAATCGGTATCAACTTCATGGCTGTCAGCTATCAGCCTTTTTGCTTCTGTGTTTCCTTCAGCGATTCGTCCTACAAGACAATGGACACATACCAGCGTTTTTTGAAGTGTTACACTTCTACAAGCCCGCGCTGTTCCGTGACATTATGTTTTCCTCACTTACTGAACTTCGCCATTTGCGTTCCTACGTGCTCGACTACCTGATCTTACTGCTTTTCTTCAGGATGATGCTCATTTTCAACAACCTTGCGTATACCTTCGAATTGCGCCATGGTTCTTGCCATATTACATCGGTGCAACTGATCATGATGTTCTGCATCGAGAGCGCTCCAGGTGTCGCAAGTTTCTCCAACTTCAACGCGCTCAACATGCCTTTTTCGAACCTGCCCTCATCTACATCGTCAACTACGACCTCAAGCTCTTGATGATGTTCAAGCACACTACAACTTGCTTTACAAATTGGGTTCAGACACAGGAGCATCTTTTGACACCATGCGTGAGCTACTCTCCGCCGCCTTTCCACCCACACAGCTATTCTATCTTCTTCGGCTGGTTGAGTTCGTCAATGAGCCATTCCGCTCCAAAGCCAAACGCCACATCGCCGTGATCCTCACAAAGCGCCGCCTCGCCATTCCACCTTCATCTGCCGACTTACTACTTCCTCCTATACATGCTACGCGCTGGAAGCAAAGACTGGGAATATGGCTCAAGCAGTGGGTCGCAGACCACCAGCAGCTGTTTCCGTCGCTCTTCCTACCCAAGATCCGTGTTATTGAGACCCGCCGCGCCACATTAGGTGATCGACTTTTCAACTATCGCGGCTGGCAACAAAGATGGACTCCTCGCACTCATTTTCGTTGTTCGTGCTTTGACGTCTCTTCTCAATATTTGCTTTATGCTCACTCACATGCCGTCATTTTGTCACATTTCGAGTCAGTGTTTTTCCAGATCAACTCCGAGATCATGGCTGCCTTTATGAAGGATCAATACTATGGAAGTACAGACAAACTACTTGATCAGCTACGTCAGAAAATTCGTCGACTGGCGTGCCGATTACGCATCCGGTCTTCCACATTCCTCACGGACATTCAGGTCGTTCTGCAGGAGATCATTGATGAACATCACAGCAATCTCACCTCTTCTTCGCGCTGGACATCAGAAGCGATCGCCCCAACGGTATCCCTTCTAAAGAATTGGGTCGTCACACCAGCGGACCACTTTCCCTCACGGGCACATGTTCTGTGCCCTGCCCTATTCTCTCGCTTACTTCACTCTATTTTAAGGCCGCCGACATTACAGGCCTGCTTTCTTATTTGCGTCAAAGATTGTTGCCCCCCTTTCCCTGTTCAGAAAAAACCATGAGATACACTGACCAGGAAGATGGAGATTCAGAAGACTCTCAGAGGACCAGATCCTAAGATGATCACCAAGCTGATCTCGTTCTAGATGAAGTGCACTCATGACAGCCGAACAGAAGATCTGTGCGAACACCGGATCCTTGACGGTTCCAAGAGATATCGAAGGCAACCCTGTCCTTCTTGGACGTGTGAAAGGGACCTTCAGCCCATTGCCCCGATGCGGATTCTCTCATCAGAAATACACAGATCAGAATCATGTTGACCAGTTATGCAAGAACATGACCGACGATGACCGTGCACTCTTAGTTCTGTATTCATCCAAGCAAGAATCCTTGAAGGCTTCCTCCACATCCGCACTCATTGGCAAGAAGCGGAAGGAAGCTACAGCCACGGAAATAAGAGCTGATCAGAAGCAATTCCTAGAAGCCAAGCAGCTTGAGTGCAAATCATGGCTTGACAATGAAGTGTTCGACTTAGTCGATACACGCAAGGTTCAGGTCAGGAACTGGTCGCTGGGTTCTAACCCTGAAGCGAGACAAGGATGGTAACTTCCTGAAGACCAAGGCTCGCTGGGTCCTCCGAGGCTTCCAAGACAAGCAGAAGAATGATCAGCAGACAGACAGTCCTGCTGCATCCAGGAGTGGTTTCCGCCTTGCAATCCAAGCAGCCTCAAATAAAAGCTGGAATATATTCCACATGGATTTGAAGACAGCATTTCTCCAAGGCGAAGCATACGATCAGTCTCGTGACATCATTTGTCAGATACCTCCTGAAATGGGATATCCACCACACATTGGAGCGCGCATGAAGAAGCCTGCCTACGGGCTGAATGACGCACCCCGCAGATGGTGGAACATCCTTGACTCGGCACTTCGTTCCTACGGACTGGTGCCAACCCGGGCAGACCGTTGTACATACGTGTACTACGGCAAGCAGCTTCCGAAGCCCGCATTGGTGAGTGAAAAGAAGTCATCCACAACTTTCGATCTCGAAGGAGCAGTTCATTACCTCATGGATCCTGTTTCTGGCAACAATGCCAAGAATCGACAAGTTCATGGAGCACTATCTCTTCATGTAGATGATCTTCTTATGACGGGGGATGACGTGTTCGAGAAGGAAATCATGGGACGACTTCGGAAAGATTTTCAGGTTGGTTCCGAGGACAAGACTGATTGCCTCTTCATAGGACAGCGCATCCAATGGAAGCAAGATGACAAGCACGGTTGGTACATCAATGTTCATCA